ACTAACCCCAGCTGTGGCCATTAATTATTAGCTGTGTGAACTAAGGTAAGCTACTTCCCTTGTATGAGCCATGATTTCCTCACCTTAAAATTAGGGGTTGGACTGGAAAGTGTGTGAGCCCCTCCCACCCTGTGGTTTGAGCAATGAATGCCAGTCATTCATTTACGGGTGAGCTATACCTGGAGCCTGGGTGTGTCCCCTGAGACACTTCCTCCTACCAGGTAGTCCACTCTGGAGATGAAGGTAAAGCTCAAAGGGAGATTGATTAGCATAACATGTAGAACACAGGGAGTTGAGTATTGTCAAGGAATATTTCTGTTAAGCTAGATGGATTCTGCTCAAAATTCTTCTCTGATCAGAAAGAGGATTTGTATTGAAAGACCTGGACATAAAACCTAGATCTTGAGCACTCCATCCTCCAGTAATGGAAATCACTGGCCCAGAAATACTGCTTCTTTGACTATTACTTTTCTTCAACCGTTTCTCTTCATCCAGTGCTTAGGTCCCAATGATTAGATTTCAACTATCTTTAATTTATTCATACCCATCTATCTGTAAGAGATATTGGTATAAATATCAGGATCGTATTTTCCGAAGTAAAAATAATCTTACAAAGGGAATGTTTTTATAGGAATATCAGGAATGGGGGCACCTGGGTGGCTCAGTCAGTTAGACGTCTGCCTTTGGCTCAGGTCATGATCCCAGGGTCTTGGGGTTGAGCCCCTCATCGGGCTCCCTGCTCGGCGGAGAGCCTGCTTCTCCCTCTCCCTCCGCCTGCCACTCCCCCTGCTTGTGCTCTCTCTCTCTCTGTGTCAATAAATAAATAAAATCGTAAAAAAAAAGGAATACTAGGAATGAATGTTTGTAATTGGGACTATCCTGAAATCATGCTTTGGTAACATTGGTAAAAGATCCTTTCAATGTGCAAGATAGACCAATGGATTTTAAAGTAACAAGGTATAGTGCATTGGTATAGTTTCAGACTCCAAGAGATCTCTAAGAAATTATCATACATTCAGTTTCAGTGTAATATCAAAGAGTATCCACACTTTTCTCAATAGGTATTCAAAGACTCCTCTCTTTTCCAGTGATATATCTATGTGAGGCTAGATTGTTTTCTGTGTATTTCATCAAAATAACAGGGGCGCCTGACTGGCTCAGTCGGTTAAGCATCTGCCTTTAGCTCAGGTCATGATCTCAGGGTCCTGGGATCGAGTCCCATGTTGGGCTCCCTGCTTAGCGGGGAGTCTGCTTGTCCTTCTGCACCTCCTCCTCCACTCATACTCTCTCTCTCTTTCAAATAAATAAATAAAATCTTAAAAAAAAAAATAACAGATTGTGACAGATTGAGTGTAGAAGCAGATAAGAGAATCCATCGGTGTTCCATTAAGGTCAACATTAGAGATTTGCAAAAATGTAAAACAAAGCTACTCCTCTCACTAACTTTTGTTTTATAAAATCTGTTTTTCACAAAAGTTATTTATATTGACATGTACTGGACTTATTAAATGAATTGACCGATTTCAAAAATATTTAATTTTAATTTCTAGTAAATATCAGTAGATACAATTCACATAAAGAATTTTTTAGAGTGTATACAGGTCATAATAGTACAAAGTTGGAGAACAGCTGCCTTGAGTGAAGAGGGCCTGTGGAAAGCTCCACTTCTCACGTAGTTTACAGTCGGCATTGTCATCTCTCACCTTCAAATAGGAAAGGACAATTGAAGATCCCAGATATTTGGGGAGAGCCTCTAACATGAATGACAGAAGCCAAAAGGATCGAACAGAGTAAAGAGAGCTCAGCAGAAAGCAAAAAGGCAGGAAAGAAAAGCCGCAAATAATTAATAATAATAATAATAGTAATACCATCATCTTTAGAGAGAAATTTTGCACTCATAAGAACAGAAATATAAGAACCATCTAGAGAGCATATTTAAAAAAAAAAACACTCTGAAATTAAAAATCAGATAGTGAAAGGAAAACATTTAATAGAGGGGACAGAAAATAAAATTGAAGTCTCCCAGAAAACGAATAATAAACAAGAAGATAGAAAATAGGAGAGGAAGAATAAGAAAGATTAGAGTTTCACACCAGGAAATCTAAAATGTGAATAATAGGAGCTTCAAAGAGAGAAGAGAAAATGGGAGAAGGAAATATCAAAGACCTAATTTAGGCGTAGAGGTTCCTTAGCTTTTTGGTCCCAGGATCTGTACATACTTCAAAATTACTAAGGACCCAAAAAGTTTTTTTTAATTTATGGTGTATGATGTTTTGGTTACCATGATAGAAATTAAAACTGAAAAATCGTTAAAACTTCAATTTATTCAATGATAATGAACCCACACATTTTTAGAAAAATAATTTTACTGCTTTTTCCCCTAACATTTGTGTATATATTGGAATTGGTTTACATTTTTGCAAATTTCTTTATTGTCTGACTTACTAGAAAATCACTGGATTCTTAAGTGAGCTTCTACTTTCCATCTGTTTCCTCATCCCAAGTCATGTCACCTCTGAAAAAGTCCACTGTATGCTCATGAAAGAATGAAAGTAAAAAAGCCAATATTGCCTAAGAATTTTTATGAAAATAGTGACTTTACAGACTCCTGAAGGGGTCTCAGGAATCCAGGGGTTACTTGGAGAAGTAATGCTCAAGAACATTTCCCAAATAGTCAAGTTGGCTCAGTGCCTGAAAAGACTAACCCCTTGGGGTACCTGGGTGGCTCAGATGGTTAAGCGTCTGCCTTTGGCTCAGGTCGTGATCCCGGGGTCCTGGGATTGAGCCCCACATCGGGCTCCCTGCTCAGTGGGGAGCCTGCTTCTCCTTCTCCCTCTGCCTGCCGCTCCCCCTGCTTGTGCTCTCTCTCTAATAAAAAATTAAAAATCTTAAAAAAAAAAAAAGACCCCAAAGTCAGCCATCAACAGAATTTCAGAATTATGTTAACAAAGAGACAATTCTAAGAGCTTCCAGAATAGAAAATCAGGTCACATGAATCCTGGATCATGGATCAGAATGTTACTGGACTTCTCAGCAGCATTAGAATTCATAAGGCAACAGATAGTTTCCCGAATACTCAGAGAAAATTATTTCCAGCCAAGAATTCTATATCCAGTAACATGATCAGCCAAGTGGGAAGGGAGAACATTCTAAAACAGGAAGAGTCTCAGAAAATGTATTGCCTATTACCTTGACTCAGACAGCTACTGGCTGTTGTAATCGCCCAAAGAAGGATACATCTGAAATGGTAGCTAAGAAACAGGGCATCTAACACAGGAGCCGGTGAAGTGCATCATCAGGATGGTGCTGGGAGAACCCAGCAGGTGTGGAGAGCAGGTTAACCTGTTCAGGTGAGGGCAGAAGGACTGAGGGCTCCAGCAGGGAGATGACCAAGAAAGAATACAACCAATAGGTGATCTGATGTTTGAACACAGGGAGGCGAGAGTTACCCTTCCAGCGCAAAGTTTGAGGATAAATTAGTGGTGGGTACTTGGAAAACTAAGAAAAAAAAAAGGGGGGAAGGGGTGGATGATTTTAACTCTAGGGAAAACATGGTTGTACAAGAAAGGAAATGTAATTATGGTATACTCCCAGCCTCAGCTGAGGATAATATTTATACAGTCTTCAAAATGTAAGCTCTGACTTTTAATCTAATCAAATTTCATAATAGAAATCATTGAGATCAGATGAGGGGAAGTTTGGGAAATTAAGAAGTAAATAATATCTCAAATTAAAAAATGCTGAAAATGCTGCATCGGCATGTTTAGAGCCATGGATAGAAACAGCAAGACATTGAGAATGCTTCTCGAGAGTGGCAGTAGAGAACGGGAAACAGAAAGTAAGAAACTGCTTGTTTTTATTATTTAGCTTTACTATTTAACTTTTTTTCAACTTTTTAAAGTAGTCTCCACGCCCAGTGTGGGGCCTGAACTCACAACCCTGAGATCAGGAATCCTATGCTCTACCGACCGAGCCAGCCAGGCGCCCCTATTTAACTTTTTATTAAATATGTAATATACCTCTTATTAAAATAAACACTGAACATAATAAAATATGTATTAATACAACTTATAGAAAGTGCAATTCGGAAATGTGTTACCATTTAACTCTGTGATGCCCTTTGAGGCAGGAATTTAATTTTATCTAATAGTAAGTTTGTTACATTAATTATACTGTATCCACACAATGAAATAGTATGCAGTTCCTTAAAATAATGCTACTGCCATTAAAAAATAAGATAGATTTTCATCTGAGGAAAGATATTGCCTCCCAGCATATTTTTCCTTTAGAGCACTATCTCCAGTTATAATTTTTTTTTTTTTTTAAAGTAAGCTCTATGCCCAACCTGAGGCTTGACCTCATGACTCCGAGATCAAGAGTCCCGTGCTCTACCAACTGAGCCAGGCAGGCACTCCCACGCTGTTTATAATTTTAAATTTGTTAGTGTGATCTTTCATGGAATGTCTGACTCTTCCAAAGGATTCCGAGCTCCAAGCACTCAGGGACCATATCTCCTTTAGCTCACTGATGTGTTTGTTCTTATGCCTTGCCTGGCATTTGGTACCTAGACAGCTATTTGATGAATGAGTAAGTAAGTGTGTGTGAACATGCATACAGACAATGCCAACCGTCTAGAAGACTTAAATGTCAGGCAGGGCTTATCTCTAGGTGGGAGAGTTAAAGGTCGGACCTGTATTTAAATCCCTGGGGTACCATGACCTTGGGCAAGTCCCTAATCTAAGCCTTGGACATAATGACAATAGGTCCTCAGTTATCCAGTTAAGTATGATTCCTTGTAGCAGTTGCCACCTCTGGGCCTGCCTGCTCTCCTACCTCGAGAGTGTACTTTGGTTTGACCGCTATTAAATCCTTACTTAAAAAAAAAAAAAAAAATGATTCCTTGTAAATGCCATATAAATGTGTAGACCTATGAGTTATATAAAATGGTCTCAATCATCAGACTATAATCTAATACTTTCTGGCTATTATTTTTTTATTAGTGACCTTCTGCAAGATTTGGAAAACTGTGAAAATGATCCTGTGGCCATAGCAGAATGTTTTGTGTCCAAGGTAAGCAGGGTTCATTTCTCTGGGCCAACCAAGATGGACGCAGATTGCAAATTGTTTTCATTTTAAAGTTAAAATGACTGGTTTGTTCCATACTGGATGAAATTAGCCGCTAATCTCTCTCACTCTGTTTTTCTTTTTTTCCACTAGCAAGGAAAAAAAAAGTGTTACTGTCCCCAGTAAGTTAGGAAATGCTAACTTAGTAGTTGTCTTAGAACTTGTATCATTACTGAATGATGCTTATGCATCTTTCCTAAGAAAGAAATTTGAGCTTGGTGGGGAGGAAAATCCAGAATAGAATAATGTTTGAAAAATAAATATGCACAGAATACCTCAAGACCAGCTACAAAAATCTGTTAGAATCTAGGTATTTTATCTATAATATACGTGGCACTAGCCTGGGCTATATAATTATCATTGTGGGGAGGGGACTAAGGAGATGCAGAATTAATCTCTTATATCTTAAAAATACATTCTCATTTTCCTACATTTTTTCTTAAGCTGTATTGATGGTTTAGAAAAATAGAAGAAAAGGATCTGACCTTTAAAAGCTTATGAAACGGTCAGCTCCGACCCCGCACCAGGATTCTGAAACATACAAGACAATCCTTTACAGTTTTCTCACATACTGCCTACTCTATATAGAATTTTATCTTAAGTTTCTCTTAAAAATGCAACAACTTTTGTTTGGAAAAGGTCTCGTGGAAATTATTTTGCAGCAAACCATGTGATTTCCGCAGTTGTGGTCTCAAGGGTACAGAAGTGTAAGCAAGTTTTGTGACGGTGCTCGGGGATCAACCAGGCATTAGCACCTCATTTAGAGCTGCGGAGTGCGCTGTGGACTTCGAGATGAGATCCTGACCTGGCTCAGGGTTTGTTTCAGGGTCGTTTCTTACAGCCACAGACCATCCAGTGGTTTCAAATCCAGACATAACACTCCAGGTTTTATTAAAGCATGATTCCTTAAAGGCAGTTGATGGGCTTGCATATAAAACCCTCCTGGCTGTGGGCGGGTTCGTGGATGTCCACGTGTTAACATGTGAAGTGTACACACATGCTTACACACACAATTCTTGTCATACGTTGCTGTCATAATTAATTCTTATAAAGGGCAGGAATTTGAAAAAGAGAAGGAAGAGGGAAGAGGGAGGACAGGGAAAAAGATGTGCCGCGTGTATCAAAGAAGATATGTTAAAACAGCCACGGCGCGTAAACATGGGAGCGATCGGAAACGCTCGGGCTCTTACCGGTAACTGTAATCACAAGTTGATTAAAGACGGTCCAGCATATGCTTAGCTCCGGCTTAATTATTCACATAAAAGTTTGTTTATGTGCCACGTTGCCAACTCCCAGATCTCATTTTTTCATTGTAATATTGCCAAGTTTAATTAGAAGCCTGACTTCAGCACTCCACACTTTCACATGGAGGCAGGGCGCTGTGAGAGAGTGTTTGGTCCTGGCACGGGGTGCTTCTCACTCAGCACCCTGAAATTTAGACGATGTTACGTTTTCTGAAACACAACCAGCTGCTCAACTCTGGGGAGGAATGGAAAATTGCTTTAATTGAGAGGCCATTAATGAAAGAGGGAAGGCTGGTGGTTGACTTCTGCTTTAATCTGAATCACTGGGGCTTACACAGAGATTCATCTTTGACCTTGATTTTGTGGCATGTGGAGGTTACCAAAATCCCTCCTGACAAAAGGATAATACAGTACTTCTTACCTGCTGCTTATCAAAGCACAAGGGGCTGCAGGGGCCATTCTCTGGAGGGACAGAAATACAAGTTCCCCAGTGGGCGGGCCAAGCTGTCTCCCAGCTGATTCAGCTCCCATTTGTCTGCTCCTAGGGCTCTAGAAACACCTGGAACAGGTTTCCTTGCTTTCCTGCTTGCTTCACCTCCATCCTCATTTCTGTCTCTTATCTTGGCTATCAGCTGGGCTGACCCTAGGGCAGCATTTAGGAGGGAGACAGAGTTTATCTTCAGAGACCCAACCTCCCCTGAACCTCCTCTCCCCTCCCGTTGGTGCCCTTCTCCCTTCAGTGCCTAGACACGCACACCCACATATGCGCTGCACACACACCCTGCCTATTTATTGAGATTATCCTCAAGAAAGTGCTGACATTGAACATTCATATGATTGGAATGAATTCAAGTCCATGTTACCTCACCCAGATGCTACTTACATATTAAGCCTTTTCTCATGTGTCTAGTGAAAACTTCTCAGGAATCAAAGTGTGTGTGTGTGTGTGTGTGTGTGTGAGAGAGAGAGAGAAAGAGAGATAGACCCCATGACAGAAGAAACCCTAAAATCATACAGATTTCTTTACTATTCAACCAATAAACAGCCAAATGCCCCATGTGCCCAATTGACCAGCCCTAACTATCTCTTTTATTTTGGTTCTTTCATAATTAAACATCTCATTTTTGCATCTCTAATTACAATTTGATAGAGTTGAATCAGAAAGAAATATCTATTTCTATCTAATTTCTTTATCATTGTCTTCTTTTTCCCTAATTACTTCTAAAAAGTATTTGGGGTAGCACATACATTGAATAAAAGGCATTTAAGGATTAACTAGGAGCTATTGATTTTTGTATAAACCATTGTTTGGATTGTCCACAGAACTTATAAATCTAAGATCAAACATAGATTCAATTCTACATTAAGAACATAGAGCTGATTTAAATCAAAACCTAATTTAATATTGGAATAGAGCCATGAGGTGACAAAATACACAGCAATTCAATTGTGCAGAAGTCTTGAGGTTTTATTGGGGATAGGTGTATGTAGGTGAAGCATATGATGTAATTTAGATATATTTTCATTGAAGCCATTTTTTTTAAGATTTTAGTTCTTTATTTAGAGAGAGAGTGTGCAAGAGTGCAAGCGGGGTAGGGGGTGGGGAGGATTCCTAAGCAGGCTCCACACCCAGAGGGGAGTCCGACATGGGGCTTGATCCCGGGATCCTGAGATCATGATCTGAGCCGAAATCAAGAGGTAGATGCTTAACTGACTGAGCCATCCAGGAGCCCCTGAAACCATCATTTTCAAGTTTGGCATTTCAGATGATCCTAAAAGTCCCTAAACTTAAGGAAAGTCAACCTGATATTATTCAATTGCATGTTGAGTGCTGCAGGAGGCAGGCAGGGAAGAAGCAAGAAACTCAAGAGTGTGTGAGCAAATGCAGAGAAAGGCTCCATCTGGCATTACTTTACTAGGCTACCTTGGGCAAATCACTTTGCCGGTCTTGTCCATGGAGCCAGGGCTGGACGCTCCAGCGCCTTCAGAGCACACCGGTGAGTGTAGCACATGTGTGGGCCCAGGTGGAGGCAAGAGCCACCGCAGCACCCGTGTCATGAGGGCAGAAGTGTCACATGAAACTGGGCTCCAGGCCCCGTGGATCTAATATGTTTTCAGGAGAAACCAGAAATCAAAATATTTTGATCTTGCAACTTTTGGAAACTGACAACTAATTTAAATTTTTAAAAAGTACTATGTTTGAAAATTTGGCAGCCTACGCAGTTGGTGAGGGCATGGGGAAACAGGCACTCTTGTAATTGTGGAAGAACAGAATGGCACAGGCCCTGTGGAGGAGAATTTGAGTATATCTAGCAAGATTACATTTGAATTCATCCTGTAATCCAGCAGTCCTCCTTCCAGAAATCTGCTCCAAAGAGACAGTGACAAAAACACAAGTGTAGAGATGCCTGGGTGGCTCAGTCACTTAAGCGTCTGCCTTCAGCTCAACATGATCCCAGGGTCCTGGGATCGAGCCCCGCATCAGACTCCCTGCTCGGCCAGAAGCCTGCTTCTCCCTCTGCCTGCCACTCCCCCTGCTTGTACTCTCTCTCTCTCTGACAAATAAAATAAATAAAATCTTAAAAAAAAAAAAAGAATCGGGGCACCTGGGTGGTTCAGTTGGTTAAGCGACTGCCTTCGGCTCAGGTCATGATCCTGGAGTCCCTGGATCGAGTCCCGCATCGGGCTCCCTGCTTGGCAGGGAGTCTGCTTCGCCCTCTGACCCTCACCCCTCTCATGTGCTCTCTCTCTCTCAAATAAATAAACAAATCTTTAAAAAAAAAAAAAAAAATCAACTGTAAAATTAAAAATTGATCACTGATAAGGGAGGGATAGACCAAAATGGGAAGGAAGAGAAGCTAGACTTCTTTGAATATGCATTTTCTTATAGAGTTGACCCTGAAACGATGTAAATATTTTTTCTCATAATTATAAAACTAAAGTTAAAAAGGCAGTCTCCAAAAAACTGAAAGCAAAATGAAATGATGAGCCTACTGATATAGCCACTTTGTGGCATAATCACACAAAAGAAATCCCAATTGATTTTAAAATAGAAATTGGAGAAAATACAGCAAATACACTTTTAACTGTTGTCAGTAATGATACCAAATACGGTGGTGTTGGTATTGTTATGCTGAAATCGAGTGTATTGTGGGATAAAACAAATGAGTATGTTAGTGTCATTGAACTGGATTTGGTAGGAGACAGAAAACACAGGGTAATCATGAGGCTAATTAACACTGTAATCCTGAATCAGAATTGCACGTTTGAACCAAGAATGTATTTTATGTTTAAAAAACACCGTATTCCTAAGTCTGTCCACTGAAAGGGCCTAGAAATACTGATTAACCCAGTGGCAAGACCATCTCTGGTACCCAGACTGTGGTCTCCAAATACAAGTTGCACCCAAAAGGAATCAGGGCCCCGTGAAGAATGCGTGTGGGCCAGGAAATGTATAAGGTGGTCTGGAACATCTTGTCATTCCAGAAAACAAGGAAGCTCCCGGAATCTGTAGGTCAGGTCACGAATACTAAAGAAGAGGCTCCTGCTGATCAAAGCTGGGATCATTTCAGCATCAGTAAAGATAATTAATTAGAAACAACTGAAACCCATTAAATATGTTTATATTCATGAATTCACAGTGATTAAAAAACCCAGAATGGTGGCTTTTGTGGGATGCTAGAAAACCAATGCATTATCTTGAAAGCAGAGGGAAAGAATCAAGCATTCATCCTGTCTTTCCCATACCAACTACAAACTGCAGGGTAACAGTTAATAGAAGGAAGTTCCTTTTTTTTGGAAAGATTCTGGCTAATAAATGAGGAAGGAATAGCAGAGTCAAAGATATCACCTTCCAGCAGCTCCTAATGAATTAATGGATCAGGCAATAATGACCAGTGGTGGTTAACATCACAGAAAGAGAGACAACCAGACATTCTGTGCCTCCTGATGGAAGCACGATACAATTATGATGCATTCCTGCCAAACTGTGGAACCTAAATCTATCCGATCTCCCCTGAACCACACCAGTGCAGGGGGCAGGGGAACATATTAAAGGAAACCGTAGGGATATAACCGGCAAAACAGACCATGAGAAACTCTGTAGGACAAACCATCTGGTTTCTTCAACTAAATTGCAAGGGGAAAAAGGATAAAGGGAGGAATTTATCGATTAGAAGAGTCTTAAGAGATACCAACCGGTTGCTTTGTGGAGTTATTTGGACTCCAAATCAAATAGGCCAACTATTTAAAAAAAGAAAATTAAGAAGACAGAAATTTGAATAGTGACTGTTGAATATTCACATTATGGAATTATTTAAATATGATAATGGCATTGTGGTGATGCTTCTTTATAAAAGTCCTTATACTGGAGATATATACTAAAATATTTACAAGTGCGGTGATCTGATGTCTAGAATTCCAGAGGGATGGGGAAACAGCATAGTAGGTGGATATAGATCATGAGTTACTACTGAGGTCAGGTGATGGATACTTGGTGATTCATTATACCATCCTGTCTACTTTTATATATATATATATGCTGGAGACTTTGTATAATATCAAATTTTAAATCTAATCCTAGTCAAGTGAACAGAAAGGATTCTAAGTAGACATTCCTTTTAAATAAGAAAAAAATTAAAGCATTAAAATTACAAAAAAAAAGTCACTGTCTTGGAGTCACATGTGAATCTAGCATGAAGTAGCTTGAGAAGTAAAAAGAGCAGAATATGAAATACCACCAAAATAACGTAATGTCTCTTTTTCATAATGTAATTCCATGTTAGAGTTTGCAAGAACAATGACTCCTGCTCTCAGATGATTTTCAGTTTAGTAGAAAAGAGGGGGATTCCGTGGTTCAATGAGCAATCTGTGCCAGATGAACACCATACGACCCCTACCTTGCAGGAACTCACAGCCTAGAGCGGGAGACAGAGAGGCAGAGAAAATGTTGCTGTCGTTTGGTAAATGCTACTAGAGATTTGGGTGTTGTGGAAGCCCAGAGTAGGAGCAGTGGGCTCTGCCCAAGCTCCAGGGAGGCTCCTTGGAGGAAATAAAGCCTAAGTTCAATGTCAAAGGATGCATAGTGGCTATCCAATGCAAGAGGTAGGAAAGACAGTGGGCAGAGATAATTGTGTACGTGGGGCCTGAAAGTATATGGCTGCTTTCTTGTACCCCGCACATACTTCTACCATGTTCTTACCACCCTAATTAAATTATCTACTTCTATTTCTCTTTCACGTTGCAAATCTACTGGACGACTATAAGTACCTGGGGCAGAAACCTTACTTTCCTCCTCTTCCTTTTCACCTTCAGATTCACCTAATACAGCAGGTGCTCAGTAAGTGTTTATTGACCTCAGATGAGTTCAAGTCGAGGTGGATTCTAGTATGAAACAAGGTAGATAAAAAGGCATAGGTCATTGCCATGGGGGCTCAGGCAGGCCTGCGTGATGACAGAGCCAAATTTATGGGTATGAACGGTATTTCTTTTTATTGTTTTTAAATGCCTACTGATGCCTGTGCTTTTTTTTGCCTCTGAACGTCTCTTTTGTTTCCTTGCAGAGTGAAGATTTCCACATTTACACGCAGTACTGCACGAACTATCCAAGGTACACGTTGTCGATACGCAGCTGTGCATCTCTGCGTTTGCATCCGGGTTCAGGCCGAGGGGTCCCGTGCATGCTGGTGGTAGGCGTTCTGTGCCTGGCACTGCGCTGAATGCCACGGAGAGACCAACACAGCGTGCTGAGAATGGATTACGGGGTAGCCAGATAGGGATCCACTCAGCTTAGGGACTCCCGGCAGAACCAGTAGGAGGGACACTGTGAAAGACCATGAAAGAGACCAAAAAGATCGTGAGGTGTCTAATTCTTGCCCATTACCCCTCTTGTATGTGTGGCACATTTTGAAGAATTTGGGGTGCCCATAGAATGAGTTTATATAATCTAGCTGGGGATAAAATATCTTATATTTTTACTATATAAGCTCTGAGAACTATGTAAAAAGGACTCCTCGTCTCACCTGGATCTTGGCTTCAGTTTTGCTGACCCAGGGAGCCACACAGCGGGACGGGGCCGGGGGGGGGAGGTCCAGGGAGGGGGTGTTCAGGGAATGCCATATGGACAATATCATGACCATTTCAGTAAGGGAGCCAGGCCCAAGGTCACTGTTGTCATTTCTTTTTTTCAGCAAAAGACTTTTATTGAGCATTTCTTGAGTCCTGATCACTGTGTTAAATGCTATAAATGCAAAATGTTGTTGAATTTAACTTGCACAATAATCCAGAGATGTCAAGGGATTCCAGAAAAGCGAAGCATCCATCACAATGCAGGGCACGGGTTGATAGGTTCTCAACAGTTGCTTCCTCATCATCGCCCCTGCCCCAACCCAGTGTATGCACGAAGGAACCGAGACTCCGATAGTTTGCTGATTTTATGAGGACCACGTAGCTAGTGGGTGGCCCAGCTAGGATTTGAATCAAGGTTTCTCCAACCTCGGACCTACAAGGTTTCTACTACATCCTTGTAAAGTTTCTCAGCAGAACTTGAGTTGCTATCTTAGGGGACAAGCTGGGAAGATAAGAACGACAGGCTCTGTTGTCTGTCTTGGTGGAAACCTGTCCCTAAGGCTAAGGTGGGAAGCAGGACCCACCTAGAAGCCAGTAGGCTGCCCTCCCTGCCCCCACAGCTACCACAGCAAGGAAGAACAAATAGGACCCCTGCTCTGAAGTGGCCTCAGAAAGCCAAGTTGGATTCAGAGGCATGAAGCCAGAGGCCGAGACTTACGTACAAATACTTTCCACTGGAAGACTGTAGTCACCCTCTCTAAACATTGGTCAGGGTATTGTGCTGTGGGGATTTATTTCGTTAGCGGCCAATGGTGCTTTTCCCGGGTTTCCCTAAAAACCAAACAAAACCCACCAAAACCCACATGCCAGTTAATACGCTACCACCATATCCTTATCATAGACACACCCATAGTTTACACAGTTTCACTTAATGCTCTCTCCTGTAGTATTTGTTTCCACCTCTATGCTGAAGGTAGCTGAAAATTGTAGGATGCACCAACTAAATTCCATGAACCTGAAGCTAAAATCCAGCATGGCACCACACCCCAATCCAGAGAAATCACAGAATCGGCCTTCAACTTCCCCACTCGGCATCAAAGGGGAAAAAAAAAAAAACTCAAACTCCAAAGATTGAACACATTTCTTGACCCCATTATCAGCATGGGAGACCCTGGAGGGGCTTGTCTGGGGGATTATGTCTGTATAAGTTTCATTATACACATGTCATTTGAAGAAATGACTTCGGAATTTGCAATTTGGGAAGTTTATATTAAGAAGATTTTCCGGACTTAGTAATAAGAGAGTACAAAATAAAAGGGAGCTTTTTCTCTATGAGGCTGCTTCAGGGTCAAAAGACAGGCAAAATCATTCATGCAAGAACACCATGGAGCCTGGTCCCAAGCCCACTGTGTGTTGGCAGGAAATAGGAACTAATATCCTTGTCTTCTAGCAACTTTTAGGGGTTTTTTGAGCATCAAACTCAACTAAATGCAATCGTGGAATAGGGTGTTAGGGAAGATCAAATCAGTAAATACAAATTAATGTAGTACGGACGCAGTCGTGTGTACTGGACGCTAAAGATGCATGAGAGAAAGGAGTTGTAAGTCCCCGGGAGGGGAGTTAAGAACAGTTTCCTGGAGGAAGTGTTTTTTTCTATTTGGGTTTTTTTTGTATTTTCATGTTTTCTTTTTTATTGTATATCTTCAACGTTGAAGAAGGAAAGAAACAGGTTAGCAGAGAGATGCTCACAAGGCATGCTCAGTGAAGTGGGCGTGTCCGGTTCTTGCCCAATTGTGTGGTTTTCATATTCATAGAAAAATATTTCCTCTTGGCTCCTTGTCTCCAATCCAGTTTGCTTTCCGAAGCCCTGGTCTCCTTTTCCCTGTCTTAACAAGCCAAGAGTGCCAGGTGTTTCAGCCCATCTGACAGCATTTCTTCTCCCTTCGGATCCAGGCTAGAGATATTAAATGTCGCCGGCACACCTTGACAGATGTCCACCTTCTTCATAGCAGTCATGCCCCAGCAGTTTCGCTGGGAAGAGACACAAGCCCTCCCTCCTTTCCCGAAGGAGGGGCCCAGGCCCTGTCAGGTCATTGTCCTCAGATATCTCCCTGGGCCCTGAACCTGGAGTTCAGTGTGCTCCCAATTTGTTGCAGGTGTCCTGTTCGTGGGCACGAGCTGAAGCCTTCAGATGACCAAAGGGCAACTGGGCAGCCGATTCTGGCTCTGGAAGAACCTTTAAAAAGACCCTCGGCTACATGATAAGGAGTAGTTTTGAAATCTCAACTTCTGGGGGAAATAAATCCGTTTGGACAGATAATTCTCAAAGCAGATGGGCACAAAAGTGATTCTAATAGGTTCATTAAGAGACCTCCATTTCACTTCCTTCCAAGGAGTCTAATTTGGCCCTAATTTTCTAAATTAATCCTGAAAACATATTACTGCCTTGGGGAGAGGGGCTGAAATCACTTCCACCTGCTTTCTTCTGAGTTATGAGACCATACGATTTTAATTTACGCGTGTGTGTGAGACTTTGCAAGCCCACTGGCTTTCATGTATAAGATATGAACACTGGTTCAACTATTCCCCTGGGGTGTTAGGGGGCTATACTTACTACCTTTGGGGGAGCTGGGATGCAGAAGGAATTCTGACCCGCTTTCCGAGTCCACTGAGGCACACTCCCTACGAAGTGAAGTTCTCTAGCTGTTTCAGAAACTGTCTTTAGAAGGATCTGTTCAGAGATTCTCAAAGGGAATTTAACTTGTGGGCCACGGTCTCCAAAGATCTGCACGGGGTATCATGCAGTTTGTGCATTCTACAAAGGCAGCCGGCAGAAGGGGTGACAAATGTCTGGCACGGGGCTGGCTCTACTGAAGAAGGAGCTCCTTTTTTCCTAATATAGAGGTGCCCTGGCCTTGCAGTCTGACCTGTGGAGACTGAATACAGATGTGTGTTTCGTGCACCACACAGATACCCATATGGGATGCAACTGGGGGCTAACATCTGACTCAGATCCCCCTTTTGCCAAGCATGTGTCCTGGCCGGGGACTTCATCCCTAGAAGGGAGGAGCTTGCTGCTTAGAAGCCATCTGTCCATGTGCAGCCAGCTTTTTCTTGTGCCTTTTTCTAATGCATCCACCCAAAGAGACACCTTTTTCTAACTTGTCCGGAGGCATTTTAGTCTAGCTATAGCTCTGTTGCTGCCCCACCTGTTTTAGGGCATTTAAAACTTACATACCCATCTCACTATTACAACTGAGATAAAAACGTGTCCTTCCTGCAGGTCAGTGGCTGTGTTAACAGAGTGCATGCGGAACAAGATGCTGGCCAAATTCTTCAGGGAACGTCAGGAAACTCTGAAACACTCTCTGCCTCTGGGGTCCTATCTCTTGAAACCAGTTCAGCGGATTCTCAAATATCATCTCCTTTTGCATGTAAGTTTCTGCCTGCCCTTGAATACTTTCCAGGGGATGGTGATTTTGTGCATTTATCCTCCATTAAGCTTTGGGGAAGAAATATCAAAACAGGCTGTGGACATATGGAAACGTTTTCCACACTCATACTTTACAACGGACTAATCTGCTTTGAGGAATTAGAGATATTTATATTCTGGCCCTGCAGCCCCATTGACACCAGCCAAGTGAAAAGATTCATTTTAGCTCTGATTCTGATAGGGCTTAGGAATACCTCACTCTGGGCAGTGAATGGTTTCAGACAGAGAGCTATCACCGTAATGAAAAACAGATTTTTGTGTGTCTTATCTCCACGAGCCTAGATTCAGTAGGCAGTTGGGCAGGAGAGCTATCTGTCATAGATTGGCTTTTGTATGAGCAAAGAGAAGGTGCCGAAAAAGGAGAAGACCAATGAGTGGTGTGATGAATGATCTTTGAGCAGGGCTTAGCATCACTTCATTGTATTTGTTGCATTTCCCATTATTTGTATACAATGCAAGGAGGCTTTATAAACAAGGGTAGACATAGCTCTCACATTCTCATGTCTTCCCTCTAAGGAAGTTGATAAAATTGGGGAAAAGTTTTGTTGCAAGTCATTTCCATTGGGTCAGTAGGATTGGATTGCCCTTGTAACACAAGGGAGACCTAGCGTGGTGGTTAGGGGCCAGGCTCTGGGTTCAAATCCTGTAAATTGTCCATGTTCACTGTAGCTCACAGGCAGTCCATAAAAGTGAGCTATTGTTTTTGTTTAATTATTTTCATACTACATTAAAATCTTGAAATTTGAATCCAGAGCTCTTATCTATATCACCATACCTGCAATTTATATGTATCTCTTTTTAAATGATTCCAGGTTCCCAACTTAGATAATCATTCCAGTTTTGGCTCAGTTCACACACATGTACAATTTTAAGAACGCTTATGGTCCAACTTTGTTAGAAATTTCTCAGCTTTGTTTGCCTGGGTGGCTCATGTTTGGAGAATCCTGTGTCCTGTGAAGCCACATCAGGAATATTACTTTAATTGTTAAACTAATATTCATGACCTCTTAGATTAGTGGGATTAATTTGCTAAACCAGTGTCCAAATAATGCTGAGATAATGCCTGTCCCAGGATAGATCTCTGCTGGACTCTGCTAATATGGCATTTAAGACTAGTATTTCTCAATAATCTCTAAATATAGCCTTCTAGATAGTTAGGGGGCCATCGATCAAAAGCAAAGTCTAAGATGGCAGTTACTTAAGCATGTGAAACATAATAAGTCAAGATCCTTACAAAAAGGTAATTAATAGGGAAAAATAGCTCTTACCCTCTAAATTAGGAACTGGTGTCTTAGTTTAGGCTGCTATAAGAAAATACCATAGCCTGGGTGGCTTCAACAGCAAACATTTATTTCTCACAGTTCTAGCGGTTGGAAGGCCAAGATCAAGGTGCAAGTCTGGTCAGGTTCTGATGATGTCGCTGTCCAGGGTTGCATTCTTGTTTCCTTCTATAGTGGAAAGAGGCAGGAGAGCTCCCCGGGATCCCTTTTATAAGAGCACTAATCCCACCCATGAGGGCTCCACCCTCATGACCTAATCACCTTCCAAAGGCCCCACATCCTGAGACCAGCACAATGGGGGTTAGGATTTCAACATGTGGCTTCTGGGGGGGACACAAACATTCCATCCATAACAGCTGGTAATGAAGAACAGTGGTTAGATTAATCAAAAACTAACTTCTGGTTGCCTTTGAAGTATTTTTGCTTTTATGGGTGATTTAGAGTGTTCCTTCTGTGTCATTTACATCACTTCAAAGTTGTGTAGCCATCCATGAAGATCCGCACAAGAATACACTCTGTACTCCCGAGTCTGTTTGTTGTTGAACAGGATTGCCTCTCAGACCAAAAGAAGAAATTACTATTTTTTTTAATCTGCTGTTGATCTGGAGCTTACCTGGGAGCTGTTATTTTAGCGGTATAGTTTCATAGTACCTTTCTAACAGCTGAGTCTGAACATGGAAAGAAAATGCAAATTCCTTCCCAGTTTCAAGCTTAGATGGAAAACTTGAGTATTTAGTAAAAGTAAACAGAGATTTATGAAGTAGGATTATAAAATAATGGAACTAACCTTCATAAGTTATACCGTAAGATTCAACCTCCATCCTTGGGCTTAATGATTATGCACATCATCAATGTCCCAGAAATGACCTCATTGACTATAATATCTTCTTACTGTTTTACGTATTTATGTAGGTTACTGTTATTGTTTTAAGAAGATAGAGCTTCAACTTAATAAGCATTTATTGACCACCCAGCTCTCTGGTGTTACTATTGAGTAGATAAAGAATTAAATAAATGATACAACAGTCCCTCTCCATAAGAGGCTCTTGAGGGGTCTAGGGACATGTGTCTTATGTGCTGGAAAGAATTAGAGCAGAGATCATGTCCCTTTCGTGGCCCTAGGATTGTGGAACTCCAGTGCTAAGCTGAGTGCTGATCCCCAGAGAATACTTGAACCATGAGATCATCCTCGACACTCTGAAGACTTGTCTTTTGTGAACTCTCTTTGGGGCTTTAAAGCCTTGACTACATGAAAAGGCACTTGCTATAGACGTACTTTTAAAGATAATGTCCACTCTATGGTTTAGTCTGTTACGCAGTCCTGTGTGACACCTTTATTTCCTCTGGGAGAAAAAGGAAAGTACGTCTTCTCTCCTGTAGGGGTGAGAACTCTACTACATTGGCCACCAGGAAACATGCTAGTCCCCAACTGTAATAGCAACTCCCGTATCTGTTATAACTGGAGCATCTCTATGAGACTTAATGGACTGTACAGTGTTTTCTTTTATCCTCCTCGTCATGGAATTCTAACCCACTTCTATTTTTCCTCCCCCGCCCCCCATTTTCATTCCTGTCTTACCATTTTCTTGCAGGTATCTCTGGTAAGTCATCTCAGACTCTTAAGGCATGATGGTGGTGTGTAAATAAATAGGCAAAAGTAGGGCGCCTGGGTGGCTCAGTTGGTTAAGCAACTGCCTTCGGCTCAGGTCATGATCCTGGAGTCCTGGGATCGAGTCCCACATCGGGCTCCCTGCTCAGCAGGGAGTCTGCTTCTCCCTCTGACCCTCTTCCCTCTCGTGCTCTCTATCTCTCATTCTCTCTCTCTCTCAAATAAATAAGTAAAATCTTTCAAAATAAATAAATAAATAGGCAAAAGTAAAATACAAGGAACTCATCATAGAGATGCCCTGTGTGAAAAAAAAAAAGTGAAAATAGCTAGTTCTCTCTTTTTTTTTTTTTTTTTAAGGAAATAGAAAATCACCTTGACAAGGACACAGAGGGCTATGATGTGGTGCTCGATGCTATTGACACGATGCAGAGAGTGGCTTGGCACATCAACGACATGAAGAGGAAGCATGAGCACGCAGTCCGGCTGCAGGTAAGCCCTTGAGCTGCTGGTGCCTGGCGGAGCTGCGGAGGCACTGACCTATGACCGTGTTCTTTGGGGTTTTTTTTAAGATTTTATTTCTTTGAGAGAGCATGAGCAGGGGGAGGGACAGAGGCAGAGGGAGAAGCAGGCCCCCCACTGAGCAGGGAGCCAGATGCAGGACTCGATCCCAGGACCCTGGGATCATGACCTGAGCCAAAGGCAGACGCTTCACCGACTGAGCCACCCAGGCGCCCCTCCCATTTTCCAAATCAGATACCAAGGCTGCTCAAGTGTTGCATTTCATCCATGATCTTCATTGTAGGTCTCCTTGAAGAAAGATCAGGACATGGCTAATACTGATCACTGTTTAAGGTGATATTTTAAGAGAAGTTACATTATAACTTTTAAACTAAGAGTTTGCTCATAGCCCCTTCAATTACCCAAGTTATAAATTGAAGTCTCCCACACCCTTATCTTAGGTTAATTACAAATAAATTCTTGTTGGAAGCAACTTTCTCTAAGCTGTTGAAAGGGTTTTTGAGCCTCACTTCCTGTCTCCCTAGTGAATGCAAAATTGTGGGTTGGTACGTGTGTGGTATGGGGCAGGGACTCAGAGAAAGGAGAGCTAAGTCTGGAAGCAGGTTTTTTGCAGTTCCACTTGGGACAAAGCTCGCCATTGCATGTTAGAGTCCTCATTTCTAAAATAAGACAGACAAGAGCTTTGCTAAGGCTCCTTCCAGCACCAGTGTTTTGGATCTGAAATCCTTGGAGACATTTGATGAATGCTAAGCCAATAATCATGTCCCGGGCACTATTTAAAAACAAAAGGTCAGGTGCCTGGATGGCTCAGTCGGTTAAGCATCTGCCTTTGGCTCAGGTCATGGGCCCAGGGTCCTAGGATCAAGTCCCACATCGGGCTCCCTGCTCAGCAGGGAGTCTGCTTCTCCCTCTCCCTCTGCTGTGTGCTCTCTTTCTCTCTCTGTCAAATAAATAAATAAAATCTTAAAATACATACAAACATACATAAAAATAAATAAAAATTTAAAAAAAGTCGGGGTGCTGGGTGGCTCAGTCAGTTAAGTGCCTTCAACTCAGGTCATGATCTCGGGGTTCTGGGACCGAGCCCTGTGTGGGGCTCCCTGCTGAGCAGGGAGTCTGCTTCTCTCTCTCCCTCCCCGCTCCTGCTCCCTGGCTTCTGCTCTCTCCCTCTCAAATAAATAAATATAATATTTTTTAAAAAATTAAAAAAATAAAAACAAAAGGTCATGCAGGCCTAGAGGCTGGTCACAGGCTCCTGCGTGTCCCTGGAGTGAGACATGAAAGCCCAGAGTGACTCCACACTGTGCAGAGCGCCTATGCCCAACTCAAGAAAAAAGACACATTATTCAGCTCACAAATTCAAACAAAACTCTAGGATTCATCTATAGGCAGCCAGAATGTGGTGTGATGCAATTGATGCTCAAAAATGGAGGGAAGGCGGGCACCTGGGTGGCTCAGATGGTTAAGTGTCTGCCTTCGGCTCAGGTCATGATCCCAGGGTCCTGGGATCGAGTCCCGCATCGGGCTCCCTGCTCCGTGGGAGCCTGCTTCTCCCTCTGCTTCTCTCTCTCTCTCTCTGTCTCTCATGAATAAATAAATAAAATCTTAAAAAAAAAAAAATGGAGGGAAGGGGACATTCTCATCTTTCAGGCCATGTCCAGAAAAGGTTTAATGTGTCATCAGCCACGTGTTGTGTGGACATAATGACCATTGCATATTCAGAAATGGCTAAATGACTGGTTTTTCATGCCTTATGAATCTGTTTGGCCTTCTGAAGACACTGCTAAATCAGGCTGTGGCTCAGACTTTTATCTCCATTTCTATCCACTTTCGCTTTCAACCAGTGAAATTTGGCGTTGTCAATTAAATGCTGTTTGTGAATATTTTCGTTTTTCAAAACAGTAAAAAATCAGCTTCCTTAAAAAACGTTGATATGGATGGACAGTAAATCCCAAAGATACTTCAAAGTCATGTTCTCAATTTATATTTATCAAGTACCATTAAAAACATAGTGGTGACGAACTTCATTTCCTTTCCCCAAATAAATGGGATTAATATCAGGAAATTTCTAAGATGTATCTCCCGTGACTTCTCACGGGCCTTAGTTTTGAGTTACTTATATGTAGTATGGATTTCAGTTTCTGGAGGAAGGTTTGCATGTCAATCACTCTGCAGGCTTTTTTGCAGAGAATATGGGTGAGAATGTCAAGGGAAAGATGCCTATCGGAGAAGGTCACATACCTGTGGCCCCTTCCCCCTGCTTTTGAGAGACATAACTGCTGTCTCCAGCCGTAGAAGAGGGATTATCAAGGAATGGAAATAAGTAATTGGCAACTCATCAACTAACAACTTGATTCATTTCTGTTAGCCCTCAAGTGACGGCACCCGCACCTGTGGATTCAGGTCATGGATCATTAAACACCACTGGACACCAAATAGAGCCATTAGACCCAGTCAGAGATAGTTAGACACTGTTCTTGAGACTCAGCAAATGGGCCACCTTGTTCTCATTGCCACGTCTCCCCACCTCCTGTGTAGTCACACGGAATGGTCACTTTTTCAGGAGATCCAGAGTCTGCTCACTAACTGGAAGGGGCCAGACCTGACCAGCTACGGAGAACTGGTGCTGGAAGGCACCTTTCGCATCCAGCGCGCCAAGAATGAGCGGACGCTCTTCCTCTTTGACAAGCTGCTGCTCATCACAAAGAAGAGAGATGACACGTTTACATACAAAGCCCACATCCTGGTAGGTCTCAGTGTTGGTCATGGGCCAGGGCTTCGTTCCGTTCTCTTCCACGCGTGCCTCACCCTCCCTCTGCTCTCATGCTCAGTGTGGCAACCTCATGCTTGTGGAAGTGATACCCAAGGAGCCGCTCAGCTTCAGCGTCTTCCACTACAAGAACCCGAAGCTGCAGCACACAGTTCAGGTAACATCAGGGCCCCCCCCACCGCCCACCCCCCCGACACCCCTGCGGGGCTCGCTCTTGGAAATGAGGAGCGCCACGTGCCGGCCACGGTGTATATCCAGAGCCTCTGGCCAGAGCCTTCTGGCCACGCAGCGTATTTCCCACCTTGTCGGAGGGTTATCGGAGGATCTGAATCTTGTGAGTGGGGGAGGCGTGAGTCATCTGACTGTCCACATTGCCTTCCGGTAGGCTAAATCCCAGCAGGACAAACGCCTCTGGGTTCTGCATCTGAAGAGACTGATCCTGGAGAATCACGCGGCCAAGATCCCGGCTAAGGTAAGACGATGAGGTCAACAAGCAGTAAAATGTGAAGGAATTCAAGGAAGATTCACCTGTAGGGAGATTGTCAAAGGTTGTTTTTTGTTTTTGGTTTTTAAGATTTATTGATTTATTTTAGAGCATACATGGTGGGTGCAGAGGGGGAGGGAGAGAATCCTCAAGCAGACTCCCCACTGAGGGTGGAGTCCAGTGCAGGGCTTGATCCTCAGGACCCTGAGATCATGACCTGAGCCAAAACCAAGAGCCAGACACTTACCCAACTAAGCCACCCAGGCACCTCCAAAGGTTTTGTTTGTTTGTTTGTTTTTTATAATTGTTGTTATACTTTCTTTCTGGGCTTGAGCAAAGAAAAAATTAGGAAAAGACTATCAGAAAATTTCTAGAGAACTAGTAGAATACAGTTGTGAGAAGTGTTCAAAGCTACACTAAGGCACCTATTGTGAACAGAGCTAGCTTAGGTTCTGTGGGAATGCTAGGGGAAAAAAGATACAGACTCAACTGTGAAGGAATTTGTCAATGAGGGAGCTAGCCATGTAAACAAACTGTTTGCTAAAGAGGATGCATTAATAGAGGTATAAGCCAAGTGTTGTAGGAGGATAAAGTGTTCAATTACAGTTGAATGGGGGAAGGAAGGAAATGCCTTTTACCTCAGTCTGGAAGGATGAAGAATATTTTTATTAGGTGGAGGAAGAGGAAGACCAGGCTGAGGGAACAGTATAAACAAAAACAAATGTGAATGGGTGCACCATGTTCACAGCACACAGACGGTGCCTAGGTGGAAGGGCTGAGTCCTCAAGAGATGGAGTAGGCGGTGAGGCTGGAGAAGTGGAAGGCAGCCCGCTGGGCTACGAAGGTCTTTGAAGGCACACACTAAGGAGTCTGGTGGTATTGGTGGTAGGAAACTACTAAAGGCTTTGGAGAAAGGGGATGGCATGGTCTTCCCTATGTTCTGAGAGGGGGACCCTTAGGGACAGGGTGATAAATGAGTTGAGGGAGTGACACTGGAGGGAGAAGAATTAGCAAGCCACCATAGTAGTCTAGAAAAGAGGTGAGGGGCACTTCTGGGGGGGCCCCAGCAACAGAGGGGGAGCAGATGGAAAAGCTTTCACAGAGGCAGAGGGAAAAATATGTTGCCCACTAGGTGCAGGAGGAGAGAAAGAAATAGGAGGCAAGGATGAGTCAGGGGTTGGGCCTGGAAGACGGTGTTGAGTTCTGAGATAAGCTGCCAAGGGGAGGAACCGGTTGGATGGGAGCGAGGAAGAGCTCTCGCTGCTGCCTGTGCAGGGGCCAGTCAGCCCAGGTGGAAATTCAGGTCTTGGAAGCTGCGGATCTGGAGGCTCTCTTGACACAGTCACTGAGCCCTGAGCCTTGATAGGATGGCCCGTAAAAGTGTGTAAAGGAAAGAACCCCCGGGAATGGCAACATCTGGGTGATCTGCGAGCCGGTGGGGACTTAGAGGACCACCAAAGGGAGAGTGACCAGGGAGGCAGTAAGAAAAGTGAAGGAGAAAGATGTGGTGACAATGGAAAGGAAGGATCTCAAAGAGGGAGAGGGTAACAAGAGTCTCAAATGCTGCGGACGTCACAACAGATTCAAACAGAGACGTAGATATTCGGTTTGGCAACTAAGAGATCAGGGAGAGCTTGCAGGGCTTTGGAGAGAAAAGCAGAAATGAGATGCAGCAGACTGAGTGCAGACTTCTTTAACAGAGTGCAGAAAAGATGCAAGGAGGTGGTTTGAGGAGAGGCGAGATCAGAGCATGACGCTTGGCGTAGGTGAAGAACACCATGGGCGTGACAGTGGGCGGCAGGAAGGGGAAGGGGAGCGTAGTGATAAGCAGAGGGGTGCTCTTTGGAATCCACCTTGGGGAGCTGGGAGGGTGGGATCAGGAGCGCTGGGTGAAAGGGATGTCTGGGAAGGTTGAAACCTCCTTCCCAGAGCTGGGAGAGAAGAAAGATGAGACAGGACAGAGAACCTTTGAGACGGACTCAAGTGAAGATACAGAGTTTGATTTCGCTGGAGTTGGTGATGTTGTCGTGTGTCTGGTGCGAGGAGCCCAGGTGGGTTTGGGCACCTGAGGGAAAGTGGCAAGGCTCAGAACACTTGCTAAAGGAAATGGACCAGTCTGTAGGGATGACTACAATAATTTGTGCATCCAAGACCTGAATGATGTGGGTCACCACGGATCAGTGTGATGAGGTCATTTGGAAATCCGCTCAGCAATCTGGAAGCTAGTGTTGAGGAACCACGGTGCAGGGGGGCTCCCCAAGGTGAGGCTCAGCAGAGCCACTAAAGGGGAAGATTAGCAGCACAGGGGAAGGTGGGTGCCAATCAGCACAGTGAATGAGCATGATTTCCAGGCTGAGGGGAGAGTGAAGCCAACAGAGAGAATAGGCGTGGCTTGAAGGACCAGGGGCCTGCGGAGTCCAAGAACTGGCTTAGAAGGAGTTAAAGGTGGAGAGATGGAAATACAGATGTCTGTAGTTGAAAAGGGAGCTTTTAGAGTTCTGGGCGCTGCTAAGGTCCCGGGGGCCGCTCTGATTGTGTGTTGCTGTTCTGGAGCTGAGGGAAAGGTTATCAGAGATAAAGTGGCTAGGCGCTAAGGTGAGGGTGGAGAATGGATTGTCCATGTGGATGGTGAAAAGGTCCTTGCTGGGCTGGGGGAAATGGAGCAGAAGGTGGGATGGTGGTCATGAGAATAGAACTGGGGCGGTAGGGGTGGCAGGGAGGCAGATAAGGAACAGGGACATTCCTGAGAAAGGAACATCTATTTTGCTCTGTGTATTTTGAGAAGCATTTGAAGCTTGTTCTCAGGGACTGTCAGCACTGATTTGGTGCCCAGGAAATGAATGTGCATAGGTGTGTGCTTTGAGTTAAGCATGAGTCTCATTCCATCAGGGTGTTGTGAGATGTAAGGGAGCTCATGCAGAGAAGTGATTGCATTTTCTTCATGGTTAGTTATTCAGTTGCTGGCCCTGTGCCTTGGAATGCCCTGAGCAATGACAAAGTGTGTTTGATATGCCCCACCTACGGTTTACCTGTCTCCTGGGAAAATCAAAGCTGCCACAGGATTCTGAAAAGGCCATTACAAAACCAGACCAGCTTGCATACCTGTCTTCTTTCTCCCCCACAAGACGTTTGTATTCCAGGCCATTTTCCCTTTATGCGTTAAAATGGTTCATATAGTCACAATAAAATTGCACTTTTTTACCCAAATTCCTGACCCTTTTAGAACTAAACATTATTTTTTCAGCTACAGCTTCTTGAGCACACACACCTACTTTGTATTTCTCCCTCAGCAAAACACCTTCTGAGGAGGGCCTTATTCTCCCCATTCTAGAGAAGTAAGAGCAGAAGCTCAGTGACATTAAGTGCTCTGCCCCAGTTTATACAGCTTGTACATGACTGAGCCTGAGTCAGACCCAGGTCTGTCTGGGTGCAGGGAGCAAGCCTTAGCCACATTGCTCCCAGTGGAAAACACTTATTTAAGATACTTGATCCACTATAATGTAGTAATAATTTTCCATTTTATTTAAGCAGGTTTATTATTAAGTTGAACTTTTCACTTCTTTCTTCAAGACTTTTTCTTAAATCTTTTTCTCCAAAGCTTTCAAAATCTGTTTATTCCTAGGAAATAAAAGAAATGCGTAACAGGGAATTTCTGTAAACCTCAAAAATCGCCTCACCAGTCTAACACAGTTAACCACAAGCTGTTGGAAGTTCATTTGTGTGATTCCCAACCTCCTTCCGGTCGTTCAGTTCAGTGATGGTCCCTGGCTGACTCCTAGAGGAAAATATGGGAATAGTACTTTTCTGAAATTCAATGTCAAGATGGGGGGAAAAATACTGAATTCTTAAAGTCTAAGTTTATAGATACCAGGAAACTTCTTGGAAATAGCCATTTTGTTCATCCATATACATGAGATATACACTCAGTCTCCTCTAGATTGAGAACAAAGATAAAAGTAGAGCCTTCTGCATTTTATATATTCACCTGGTTCTGGAAATGCAGTTCACAGAAATTGAGCTCACATCTGTGTTTGAAATTAATTCGAACTAGTAATCCCAAACTGACTAGATGATAAAAATATCAATGTCATAAAAATATAAGCATTTGTTTTCTCAAACTCATATGGTTGCGTCAAGGCCCTTTTTTTTTTTAACCTTCCTCCTTTGTGTGTGTGTGTGTGTGTGTGTGTGTGTGTAACTAAATATTACCATTTAGCCTAAATATTTTTACTGCGCTATCAGAGATTGTGGCAAAATACAATTAAATTATTTTTTCTTTAAATTTTTTATTGTTATGTTAATCACCATACATTACATCATTAGTTTTTGATTACAATTAAATTATTTTTAAGGTAATTTTTAGCCCAATGTTTGGAGGTTAAGTTACACGACTCTTGAACTATGAAAATGACACGGGGGGAGCAAGACAGGCTACCTAAAGTAATTTTTTTTCCCTTTTTGAATCCTCAGGCAACATGATTCATGTTAGGGTAATTAACTATCTTTTTATATTTCCCTAAACATTAATACCATTGGCAGCAATAACAATAAAAAGAAGCCTCACAGCATTAAAGCTGCGACGGTTGGGGTTGAAGGGAGAAGAAAGCCAGAGTTGAGGATTATCCCGCCCAATCCCTTGGCGGGCGGGTGGTAACTTCGTTGGGTTGAGTGCCTATCATGTGGGCCTAGTAGTAGCAACCCTGAAAGGTAGGTCCTATCTTGCCATCTGTGGCTTCCTTCCAGGTGGGGGCTGCAAGCTTAGCTCTGGTGCATCCGTTGTGTAGCATCTACTACCCACAGGAGGGCGCTTGTCTTTTTGAAGCCCTTGTGTTCATGCCTCAAAGAAATAATGAGTTGTTTAAAGCTTTTCCATAAATCCCTGTTCAGGTGGCATAGTGTAGGTAATACAGGTCTTCTGTATCACGACTGGTAGCTTAAAGAAGAAACAAAAAGTAATTGCAATTAAAGCCATACTTTTCTTTCTTTCAGGCCAAGCAAGCAATACTTGAAATGGATGCCATTCGTAAGTTCGGTTCTCTTAATACAGTTTGAAATTTTCTTGTCTCCTTGCATCTGTCATATTGTCTAGCTTAAAGTTTACAAAAATGTCAATTGTAAGAAAGGAGCTCTATTCACTGTGTTAACAAACAGAGCCGGCAGACGGTATAATCTCTTCCTAACACATTGGCTTATTTGTACATTGATTTCGCCTGGTTTATCTGAGTCCCCTGATGGCTGGCCACATGTCTAGATCTCTGCATCAACTAAGAATGTAAGATCTGCTGCCAGGGTCCATTCTTACCCTCCTTTCTACCACCACCAGAAATTAAGGTTTCACATACACTTCCCACCACACCCCATCGGAGGGAAATCTATGTTGATTTCCTGCAAGAATCATGCCAACAAGATAGTTCATACTTTCCCTGATGCGGCACAAATTTCAAAATTACAGCGGCCCCACAAGTGTGATTGTATTTCAAGGCTTCTAAAACAGGCAGAAAATAAACAGAGGTGAGGTGTGTCCTACAAAATAAAACCTCGTTCAACGGCATTTATCACATCCTTGTTCTCCCCCAGATTAAATAGGAAAAAAAGAATCAATGGCTTTAAAGATTTACAACCGGGTCTGGCAAAAACTTTTACCTACAGCATTTGAAAGAACTTACTTTTGAGGAATCTTGCCCCAGGTGGGAACACTGATTCACGTCCCCTCCACACCGCTGGTGCTTAGCTCTGCAGGGGAAACAAGAAGCATTCGTGAGGTAGAAAGATGAGCACTCCCACCACGTGACTGAGACCCCCCGTGTCATGCCCCACAGCTCCTGAGAGTGACCCCTACCAGAGGGCTGGGCTGGGGCCTGCTGCCCTGTCTTCTTGAAAGTCTCCATTTTATTCAGTGGAAAGGTCTTTAAGATTTTTTTTTGATAATAACACTCTATAAAGAGAAGGCAAGGTCATGGATGAGCATGTTAGGTTTAGGAGTAAAGGTGGAGGAAGATGGGGGTCTGAAGAAGTCTGCTATTTCTGTGACCCACTTCATTCAACAGAACCAAGTCCTCGTTCCCAGCCTCTGGGCGAGTCCGTGGACACCAGTAAGGTTCTGTGAGTGCACAGGATGATTTCGAGCCACTAACTGGTGCCATGTGCCTTTCTTCCAGGCCCAAGACGAGGCCAGAGCAACCCTGCCTGGGAAAATCCCCCCATTTGCCCTGCCTTGACTCTGGACTTGGCTGGGTATGAGCAGAGTAGGCCAGTCCATTGGGCCAAATGACCTCATTTATGTAACTTTGCCACTGACATTGGACAAACATGTGTGGTCTTTACAGTCCTCAGAACTCTCTCCAGCTTTGGACACCCTTAAAGAGCCTTAACCCTATTACAGCCACGTCCTAAAATTGTTTACCCTCAGGCTTCAGATATCAGTGAAAGTGCTAGAGTACTTTAGGATTGGACCCAATTTTCTTTCTTTCCTTTTTTTTTTTTTTTTAAGTAGGCTTCATGCCCAACGTGGAGCCCAGCGAGGGACTTGAACTCACAACTCTGAGATCAAGACCTGAGCTGAGATCAAGAGTCTGATGCTTAACGGAGACAACCAGGTGCCCCTAGACCCAATTTTCTTAATATGATGTCCATGTACCCCTTAGCATAAACTGCGAAATTAAATGAAAATCCTGGGGGCACCTGGGTGGCTCAGTTGGTTAAGTGTCTGCCTTCAGCTCAGGTCATGATCCCAGGGTCCTGGGATCGAGCCCCACATTGGGCACCTTGCTCAGTGGGGAGCCTGGTTCTTCCTCTCCCTCTGCCCCTCCCCCCCACTCATTGCTCTCTGTCTCTCTCTATCTCACTCGCTCGCTCTCTCTATCTCAAATAAATAAAATCTTTAAAAAAATAAATGAAAATCCCTTTTCTGGTAAGAGAACCTAAAGCACTTATCAAATATTCAAAAGAACAATGTCTAGAAAAATACTAAGAGTCACGGCCCTAGAGGACAGCTTCCATAGGGCAGGAGTAGCTTGATATCCTCCACCACCAAGCCAGGCACAGACGCCTCGCAAATATTGTACTTCAGTTGAATTCTCAAGATGGCTTCGCCCTCCCTGACAGAGCCCCTGTTGTGGCCCGTCACCACAGCCTGTCAGGGGCCTTGTTGGCAAGTTCAGCAGTGATGTTTATTTTAATAGAATTTTCTGACCTCTGTGGGTCATCAAGTTGCAGATGATCCTGAGTGGCAGTAGGAGTTTAATCCCACCTTACACATCTTAACTAACTTCCTACAAAGGGTAAAGACAATGGTTATGGCACTTTCTGCTAGTGAGCCAAAAAGGAGAGCGTGTGTGTGTGTGTGTAACAGAGAACCTGAGAGCACACACGTGTACAAGAAAGGCAGCTTACCCTGCTGACAGACTCCTGGAAGTCCCAATGTAAACAAAAAGTCCTGTGATACATATTCAACACCAGTTACGGAAAGGAGAGATTATACCCTGTCTGATGAAAATGAATAAATCCATAGATACCCAAAACAAGTTGTACCGATCTCAGAGGTCACTTGAACACCTCCTTCTTATTGATGTGTGTGGTTATCTTTTCAGATTATCCTGGGTTCTGTTACAGTCCTGAGGGAGAAACAAAAGCATTGTGTGGTTCGAAAGACGGTTCTGCTCCATATCGGCTGAGAAGAAAATCTGGTAAATAGGATGTTGTGATCAAAATTTAATAATCTGGGGGGATAAGTAATGAAAGATCCTTTCAGTCTGTCAGGCTTTTGTTCTAAACAAAAACTTTCGTTCTAAACTTTCTACATAACTCTATTTCCCAGGGAATATAAAACATACCAATCAACTAATTTTGCTTTGCATAGCATCTTTTTTCGTGTGTAAATTTATTTTTTTATTTTTTTAACTTTATTTTATTTTATTGTGTTATGTTAGTCACATACAATACATCACTAGTTTTTGATGTAGTGATCCACGCTTCATTGTTTGTGTATAACACCCAGTGCTCCATGCAGTACATGCCCTCCTTAATACCCATCACCGGGCTAACCCATCCCCCCACTCCCCTCCCCCTAAAACCCTCAGTTTGTTACTCGGAGTCCATAGTTTCTCATGGTTCGTCTCCCTCTCCGAGTTGACCCCTTCATTTTTCCCTTCCTTCTCCTAATGTCCTCCCTGCTATTCCTTATGTTCCACAAATAAGTGAAACCATATGGTAATTGACTTTCTCTGCTTGACTTATTTCACTTAGCATAATCTCCTCCCGTCCCATCCATGTTGATGCATCTTACCACTAGCACGCAGGTACTTAAAGCCTGTTGACTAACACTGGGGAAAAATTGTATCCTATAAATGACACATACAAAAGATTATTCAAGCCTAAACCTTTAACACCTGTTTGCTGAACCAAACTCCATGGAGTATTCTCTTAGCCCTCAGATCTTTTTTTTTTAATTTGAATCAGTATTTATTGAGTACCTACCTAACCCCCTGCACTGTGCTAAGGACCCAGAGTGCAAGAATAAATAATACATATGATTCCTGCTTCCTGGGAGGTTATAGTCCAATGGGAGAGTCTAACGGGTGAATACGTACCAGTCCATAATGGACTGTGGTAGAGGCTGAGTGGGAGGAAGAGTGGAAAGACAAAGGAGGGAGAGAGGGGCTAACTGTCTAGGAAGGAGAGAGAAGGCTTCCCAGAGCAGAAGACCTGGGATGGAGTCTGGGGGCTGAGGAGGCAGATGGGGCAGGACTAGCACATGCAAAGGCCCTGAGACTTGAGCCGGCATACCTTAGCTCAGGCCTCTATTGTTAATTGTTCAGCCTGGCTGGAACATGGGATGGAGGTGGGGGGAGGTGGAGATGCGCAAGGTAAACCAGAAGGAAAAGTGTCTGGAGTTGCGGAAGGTATGAGCTTGATCCTGCAAGCTACAAGAAGGATCTTCAGCGATGAAATGTTTGCCTTTTTTTTTTTTTTTTAAGATTTTATTTATTTATTTGACAGAGAGAGAGAGACAGCGAGAGAGGGAACACAAGCAGGGGGAGTGGGAGAGGGAGAAGCAGGCTTCCTACTAAGCAGGGAGCCCGATGCGGGGCTCGATCCCAGGACCCTGGGCTCATGACCTGAGCCGAAGGCAGACGCTTAAAGACTGAGCCACCCAGGCGCCCCGAAATGTTTGCCTTTTAAAAAGAGAATTCTGCTTTGATGTGGAAACTGAAGTAGGCTGTCCATCTAGTCTGGGGGAGAGATGATAATGGCCTGGATTGAGACAGTAGTGTGGGGGGGAGGCGTTATTAGGATCCCACAGGACTGTGATGGATGAAAACAGGAGAAATTTAGAATGATGTCCTGACAGCTAACTTGGGCAGGTAATGTCAGTGACAACCAGGATAAGAACTTGATTAAAGGACAGTTATGGGGGGAGACTGGTGAGTTCGAGGCATGTTGGGTTGCTCGGTCTGTGGGCACATTGGGGAATCGTCAGTTTGACACTTAACATTAGAGGCTTGGGAGAGGAGTGGCTTAAGGATATAAAATTGAACACTATCACCTTACAGGTGGTAAAGCTAAGGAAATTTCTCTACTAGTTGTTGGTAGGGTAGTTTTCTGTTAAGTGACCCCTGATTGCGCAGCTTAAATTTTATCCTACAGCTTTGTCAGAGTGAATGTCTTGCTGTTAAGTGTCTCTAAGTGATGGGGATTTCGGTATATTTGGTAAAAAAAATTTTTTTCTAGAGCTCAAATAATTCATTTATAAAGGAAAAAAACCTTGATTTGGTTTTGCAAATGATGCTGGCCTTATTTTTTCTCCTAGAACCTTCCTCAAGATCACATAAAGTTTTGAAGACCAGTGGTAAGTCCTGAAATATCTTTCTTTTTTTCATTCTTGCTGATATTCACTAAGTAAAACCATACAAAAACATAAACACCAGATAAATTACAGATTGACAAATGTTATTAACTTCTATAAGTAATAGTGCCCCATTATATGATATAAAGCCAAATGACATAAAATGTCTGCAATATAGATAACTGGCATAAAAAAATTAATATCCCTATTATGTAAAGAAACCCCATACATCAAAGAGAAGAGACCAAGGACTCTCTTTTAAAAGGCAGAGGGGCACCTGGGTGGCTGAGCTGGTTAATAAGCATCCAAGTCTTGCTTTTGGCTCAGGTCATGATCTCATGGGCATGGGATTGAGCCCTGCATCAGGCTCCGTGCTCGGTGCAGAGTCTGCTTCGGATTCTCTCTTTCTCTCTCAAATAAATAAAATCTTCTAAAAAGGATAATAAAAATGAAAGGCAGAGAATATAATTGGGCAGTTTCATAGAAAAAACACAAACTGTCGATAAAATTTATAAATGGTCATCCATGTTAGTAATCAGAAAAATCACACATTTAAAGGAGATAGAGAGGGGAAAGCTGTGAACTCAACCAAAATATAGAGAAAAACAGGCACTCCAAAACGAATGGTGTCTAAATTTCTGCAACCTTTTTGGAGCAAAATTTGGAGCATTTAAATTTAAAATCCACATTTGCCCTTGACAATTTCACTTTTTTCACTTTTATAAATTTCACAATATATACTTCCTATAGAAAAGTGCTCCCCCAAGTGTGGCTAGATCCAAGTGTGTGTGTGTTTTCTTTGCAGCATTTGTAATAGGACAGCACATAAAATGCCCATCTAGTGGGAAAGAGTTAAATAAATTGTAGTATATCCTGGAAAGCTATGTGGAATATTCTGCAGTTTCTGTCAAAAACAATGCAGTACCTCCTTCCCTACTGACAAGCGTGTCCACGTACATTTAGCAGGAAATGCAATGCTGCATATTGCACCTTTATTTCATAAACAAAACCGTGCATTGTGGTGGGCTAGGGTCAGTGGGTATGGAACTGGAAAGAGGACCATCGACTGCTAACTATGATAACTTCCACAGGGTGGGATTTGTGGAGAGGATTCGATCACTGTTTATATGCTTCTGTAATTAAACAGTGTTTAAAGATGAGCCACACATCATCGAGGTATCTGAAAGGGCGTCTGTAAGGATGTAGCTACGTACAGGTCCCCCAGAAACCCACCTTTACTGCTCCTTAGCACAGTGCCAAGGTGACCCCAGTGATAAATGCTGTTTGTGTCATTCAGGGAAAACCAGTAAAATGTTTAAAACTAAACAGAAGCATAGTCTTATGTTTAAGTGATTCTCATGGCTTAAGGTGTGTATTTCAGATAATACATATTTGGGGGGAAGATTTTGAGACTTATTAACATGAATCGGTCTGTTGCTCTCTGGGATTAAGAAAGGTACTTGACACTCAGATGTATGTAAGGTTTTGGGTTTTGTTTTTTTTTTTTACACATATACTACAGGATATATAACGAAGATAACTGAGAGGCATTTTCTGAGAATTAGGTCTAAAGGGTCCAAAAGCCTCTCGGGCTTCAGTTATTAACAAGTTTTAAAATCCTATAAAATAGGGGTGCTTACCTATGTATGAGATATGTTTTTAATCCTCAAAAATTCTTTTAAAACCCTTTTATTTTTCAGAAACAGCACAAGACATCCAAAAGGTAAGCACAATTACATTTCTTATTTTGAAATGTTTACTTAGGCACCCCTTAGAGGTACCCTTATATATCTCATCCCCAGCCTATATTCCAATGTAAACAATTATTTTACATTTTGAGATGGACTTAAGGACTCATCCTTATAACCTCCTCCCTCCCCCTGCTTCATTTCTCAGAGCTAAGGCAATGATTTCTTCATCCCCCTCTCGCCCCACCTCTCACCTCAAAAGCTGTAAGGTTACCTAGGGTGTAATACATGCACCCTAAGTGCTAGTGTGGTACACCCGACTTTGTCACAAGACCAAGGCTCCTGCCTCCCAAATGTTGCCCCCTTCTCAAAGCATTAGCCTTTGGTCACAGAGATCCCCTTCTAAGAATATGGTCCTGCTGCTGGTATGAGAAGTATGATCCTATGTCCTATAATGAAACTTCACTATATGAAGTTGGGGCTTTTCTTCCTCTGATAAAAGGTTAGGAGAGGGGGCATAAAAATGGTATGCTCTATTGGAAGATGTATACCCAAATGTATTACCTATGAAGAAGAGATATGGTATCCTGACCTGAGTAAACCATGTCCAATTGTCTATAGACCAATTGTCTAAGTTAACAACTCTTGGAGAACTGATCGTGGTTTCTTGCTTAATGTTCTGTATCTGTAAGAATGTGGTTATGAAACTCTCTCCCCACAGTTCCACTGCATTGCTCCTTAGCACAGGGCCCAAGTAACCCTGCTGATAAACTCCGTACCTTTCCAATAAATCCAATAAAATGTCTAAAAATCAGCAATCTTACCTCAAGGTAATTTTCTTAAAATTGGAGCATGTGAATTTCTTTCGGGTAGTATATATTTTTGTTTGGAAGCTTTTGAAACTTATTAGTTGGTTATTGTTCTGAAATATAGCATGAGATTTTGATTTTTTTTTTTTTAATCTACATTGTTTCCATAAACAAACACTGCAGAAGGCGCCCAGCTCTTTAATGCTGCCAAACTAGGATCATGGAGCTAAGCCCTGCTCGGTACCAGGTGGGGGGATTGCTCCATCAGCCCTAAAGAGGGAATCTCAAGAGCTTTTTGGAAACTTTTGACAATAGTGATCAAGCCAAGTGTCCATATGGGGACTAACTAAACCTTATAAAATTTGAAGACAAGAAAGAAGTAAAGCCATGTACTTTTTTCTTAGTGGTAAAATTCCATCTCCTAACACTAATGAACAACACCAAATGCAAGGAGAACAGATTTACTAATGGTTAAAGAGTTTATAACAGGAAATATTCCTTAATAATAGCTTCACATTTCTCCCAGAATACGTATTCCAAGGCCATGCGTGTGTGTGTGTGTGTGTGTGTGTGTAGAGACAGAGAAAGGAGAAGGAGGGAGGGGGAGAGAGAGCAAGAGAGGGGGGCAGTTAAGGTCATATACATGCTGTGGATTCAGACATGGATTCAAATCCATTTCTGTCAATCCTAAGCTATATGACTTACAAGGAAGTTGTGTTTTCTAACTTATGGAATTATTATAAAGACTAAATGCAAAAATATATTTTTTAAAAGTACTTAGTACAGGAGTGCTTGGCTGGCTCAGTTGGTGGAGCATGTGACTCTCGATCTCGGGTTGTGAGTTTGAGCCCCACGTTGGGTATAGAGATTACTTAAAAATAAAATCTTAAAAGAAAAAAATGCTTAGTACAGAATCTGGAACAAAGCAAGTGCTCCACAAATGATAGCTATTATCATATTATTATTAATAGCCATAATGCTAAGAATATAGAAAAACAGTGGGGAAAAATGTTCATCATGGCTCTAGTGAAATCAAGGTATCTAACCCAGACACTTCTATGTTGTGCATAATATACATACTGATTATTTCTCAATCTAAGAGCTTCTTCAGTTCTCCTGAAGATTTCATGTAAAATTTCAGTTTCCAAAGTTCCAAGCAATTACCTTAAAAATATCAAATTTGATATTAAAAATTCAGGTTTCCTAGTTTCCTAAGATGTCTGGGAATCTTTCTGGGATGGAAGATTTTAAGAAGGTATTACTTCTGGCTGTTCACAAAATCCTTTTGTTATACTTTCAAAGCGTTTTGTCATGATTTCACTAGTTAATACTAACTTATTTTTTTAAAAATGTAGTTCCTGGGTGTCTGTATTTTATAAACATGGTACCAGTACAATCTGAGTAAGAAAAAGGGAGAGATACTAAAGGGTAAAGAAAAAAATAGTGCCATAAATAAAATATAATACTATATATGTATATATGCGTATATATCCGTATGTGTGCATATTCATACATTTCTAGGCCTCAGATGGTCCACAGTTTGACCATGTGAAAAAAGGCAAAAGATTAAATGACTAATTAGATTATTTTTAGTTTCAAATTTTAATGGAAAAATAAACTTCAGGATGAAATTTTATTCTTGCCCTCCCTACTTCTCTTCCCTCCCTGATAGGCAGGCAGGCAGGCAGGCCAGCAGATAGAAAGACATATTGATAGGAGGTTATTCCAAGGCAATATATATATATATCGCAGTTTCATTGACAAGTAAGGAAAAGTTCTTGCTAACTTAACATTTCTAATAGGTTACAAAAAATATTCCTAATAGTGTTTGGGTCAGAAAATATGCCCCTGGTACTAATGACTTTGAACTGGTCTCAACCCTTTCAACTCTTTGAAGCTAATCCTTATACCTATAGAGGGCATCAGAGGGCAGTCTGCTCCCTGTCTGCACAATTGAGCTCCATCAAGAAAGGTTCCAAGTTATAAAAGATCCCATTGGTTTTTTGATTAGAAATTGTTAATGTCACTCATATTTTATTTCCTAATAGGCATCTAAATATTACTTAATTAAATGTATTTTGAAAGAAAGTAAAACGTTCATTAACTCAATAGTGGATTAAGTTACATGTCTGCAACAAAGGCTCTTTGCCTAGAATCTATAAACCAAGGCAATGCCAGTCAGGTCTATGGCAAGTCTGCAGATTTCAGAGGAAGCCTTAAGGTGTGCAGTCGGATTACTGACTGAGGCTTCTGGTATACCAGAAACCACAATAAAACTCCTAGCAGTCAAGCCTCAAATAGAAACCAGATACAGTGGCCCTTGATACCTATATATGTTCATTTATAGAACGTTATTCACCAAGTGCACATTGGAATTATTTAAAGTATTTAAGAGTTTTCTGTATTTTGCTGATTCCCTGCACTGGGGTAAGGGATTTGGAGTCAGACTTAGTTTGTGTCCTAGCCTTTCTACTGACTGGGGAGAGCCTGGATTTCCTTACTGTGAAATTAGTACAATCATGTCTAATTCACAGAGTGATTGTAAACGTTAAGTGTGGAGAATGTCTGCACATGGCCTAGCCTGTTTCTAAGTAAATATCAGTTCCTGTCCTTTCTGCCCCTTTTGCAAAAATCCGAAGTGCTTTTCAACTCCATTAAAATCAACAACATTTACTGATCATTTGCTTTAAGACTATTATAGTCCAGTGGGAGAGGCAATGTGTAAAACCAGAAGAGTGTCATAAGTTATGTGGTCATGTCCCTGCAGTTCAATCAGTATGTTTCTATCCACCTCAGGCTTCCAGAGAGGAAGGGTCTCCCCAGCGGACCTCAGCGGGGCCATCTCCGGCCCCAAGGAACAGCCAGCCGAGCAGTTCTGCCATCATCAGCGTGCTTCGCGGGGGTGGAGCCATCAGAAACATCTGGACGGACCACCAGATCAGACAAGCCTTGTTCCCGAGTCGTCGGTCCCCTCAGGAGAACGAAGATGATGAAGATGATTATCAGATGTTCGTGCCATCCTTCTCCTCCTCAGATCTGAACTCGACCAGACTTTGTGAAGATAGCACTTCCAGTCGCCCTTGCAGTTGGCACATGGGACAGATTGAGCCCACGGAGACCACCAGCTCTGGCCACCGGGTGGTCAGGCGGGCCAGCAGCGCTGGCGAAAACAACACATGTGCTCCTGAAATAAGAATTAGGGACAGTGGTGGCTCTCAGTACAGCCCCCGACGGGAACTGCAGAGTGACCCTAAAACAGAAGGGCAGGACGGAATGACTCCCTTTGGGTCATCTGTGGAGTTGACTATTGATGATATAGACCACGTCTATGATAACATAAGTTATGAGGACTTAAAACTAATGGTTGCTAAACGGGAAGAAGCTGAATCCACACCCCCCAAAACAGCCAGGGACTCTGTTCGCCCCAAGAGCACGCCAGAGCTCGCCTTCTCAAAGAGGCAAGCTGGCCCCGAGAAGAGCTCTCTGCACACAGAGAGGGATGGAGCTCTAACAGGTCACCAGGCATCGAACCAAAGCACACATGAACTCCAGATGGTGGAGGAAAACATCTACGACACCATAGGGCTCCCAGATCCGCCCTCCCTGGATTTCAAATGCAGCAGCCTGAAGCGCCCCAAGAGGAGCACCTTCTTAGGGCTGGAAACCGACTTTGCATGCTGCGACAGTCTGAGGCCCTTTGTTTCCCAGGATAGCCTCCAGTTCAGCGAGGACGAAACTCCTTACCCCCAGGGACCCTCCGATAATGATTATTTGAGTCTGCTCTATAACTCTTTCAGCTGTAACCTGTCTGTAGGTGATAAATCTATATCTGATAAACTGTCTGAAGAAGTAGATGAAATCTGGAATGACCTGGAAAATTACATCAAGAAAAACGAAGTCAAAGCTAGAGACCGGCTCCTCGCAGCCTTCCCTGTCAGTAAAGAGGATGTGACAGACAGCCTGCACTCCGAGAGCACCCCCGAGCTGGGCAGAGACACGGTGCGTTCCGTGTCTACCCTCTCGCTTCCTGAGGGCCATGCTTTCCTCACACCACTGAAAGACAAGCCCGGCAGAGCTGGCCGGACCCACTGCCCGTTTGAGGAGGACCTGATTTCTAAAGAGGGCTCCTTTATGAGTCTTAACCGGCTGTCTCTGGCCAGTGAAACACCTCCCATGGAAAACCCCTACGACTTGGCCAACAGCAGTCTATCCCAACCAGACTTGGAAACCCCTGACCCTGGGATGGATGCCACAGATAAGACAAAAAGCAGGGTCTTTATGATGGCCAGGCAGTACAGTCAGAAGATCAAGAAGGCAAATCAGCTTTTAAAAGTGAGAAGCCCAGAGCTGGAGCAGGCACTGGCCAGCCAGCAGCATAAACCCACGCACAAAGACCTGGCAGCCATCTTAGAAGAAAAGAAGCAAGGGGGTCCTGCCATCGGTACGTTCCTTCACACTGCTTTCCCTCCTTCTTGAAAGTAGGACGTGAGGGCAGCTTTCAGGTTCTAAAAGTCCTTGAAACGGTGAGAATATTGCCACTCAGACATTCATTCTCTCAAATTGAGACCACAGCTTTACTAACAAACACCGACGAGGCCGTTCCTAATTCTTTTCCCACTTTAGCTCACAGAGTCGCCCAAGCTGGAGCAAGATACGGTCTCGGAGGGTTTTGTTGTTTGTGTCACATTGTCACTACCAGACTTGATGTTTTAAGAAGTTTTCTCTGATCTGAAGTGTGAAAAATAGCAATCCGTTGAACTCGTGGCAGGTAGAGCTTTTCCCTGTGTATCGCTGTGTCCGGAGGAGTCATGGCTCATGTCAGCTTTGAAGATTCGGAAGCCTGTGGAATGGGGTTGCTCCAGAATCCCAACAAACATGCCCACTCATCCTAATAGATGAAAAGGAGTCCTTTCACACTATATCCTCAGGGATTTGCTCACATATTTCTCTTACCAGTTGACTTTTTGTTTAATAGTTGCCGTAAAATAGCCCGTGTCATGCATTTAATACTAGCTCCCTTTAGTATTCTCGGGTAGCTTCCAAAAAGTGTGATTCTTTCGGTCAAGCCTCCTTTGTGGGGCAGAAAACTGGGATCTCAGGTATGATATTGGTAGGATTAGGGCTAAAGGTTTGACTTCTTTCTCTGTTACAAAGAAGTGCAGAGACCAGACTTGACACCGAGACACTGATCTCGGTTGAAGAACACAGGTGTGAACGAGACACATGATTGTCACGGGAAGAAGAAACCCCAGGGCCCTGGCTCTCACCTCAGGAGCTTTTCACCTCTAGACCCAGACAGATTTCTGGGGTTAAGCCCCGGAATCTGCAATTTAAAACAATGTGGCCTTTTGAGCCTATTTTAAGATTCCCTGGCCTAGATTTTCTGACAAAGGACCCCCTTGGTATCAAATGAGAGGAGACTTTTCTCCAGTTAAAAGTAAAAGCCCGATGGCTCAGTATCAAGGCACACTGAGACAGATAGCGGGACGATGACACGGCTCATCTGGCCAGATCGATGCCACTAACCCCCTTTCTTTGAGATTGATGTCTTTATCTCTGCGAAAACCAGAGAATAAGAAGGGGATATCCAAATCCTAAATGAAGCCACAAGTGACAAGTTACGTGACGAGAATCTATAGGGAATTTTTTTTAAGTTTGGGAGTATTTAAGAATTGTCTAAAGCTTTACTCTTTTCTAGAGTTCCTCCTACAGTAAAGTTTCCTATCAAATAGGGAAGGTAAGTGCTGGAATTTGCTACCTGAAGGATTTTACACACTCTCTTGAGTTGTTCTTCTTTTTAAATAAAGGTGGAAAGTGAATTTTGTATGAACGTAAGAGACTAGATGGCATATATTTTTCTCCTTGCAAGAATATGCTGGAATTAATTCATGTCCCTTTTCCAGTACTAGCGTTGCTAAGCTGGTTTGTTGTTACGCATGAAAAAAGTGACTGAGTTCCAGCTGTAAAGGACCCTGTGGGGGCATAGATGGCATTGGAAGCAGTGGTATGTGGGCAATGCAACCACTGACTGAACCTGGGCTAGAGAGAGAATAGAATAGCGTTTCTGATGATCATGGATTATGCCAGTAGACTATTGTTTCAAGAGTGGTAATTGCCTGAGCCAGGTTGTTTTGAATATGGACCATCCATTAAAATGCAGAACTCAAACCTTGATAGAAGCATGTCCTCCAATGCTGAATCATTAGGGCTTACAACTACCTTGAGTAGTCTTCTTTTTTACCCACCTTTTAAATATTCATAGATGTCCCTTTGGGGTTTTCTTTTGCTTCTTTTTACTTTTGGTTTGTTCTCCTTTTGGTTTTGCCTACTGATGTCTTCTTGAGATCCCCATGAGATCTTTTCCCAGCTCTGCATCTGGGTCCTTTCTTGACATGGTGGGCTACTACCGACGTTCTCCCCAACCAAGAGGAGGAGATCTCTCCAAAGTCATCTTCTGAGAATGGGGTCTCCCCTGCTATCTGGCAGGAGCACGTCCCTAGGGCCTGCCATCTCTCGGACCTGAGGAATCTTCCATCTGGGTGGATCGAGACCACTTCCTGTGCCCACTAGGCTTTCAATCAGTTGACATGATGACTCCTTTTCTCTCTCTTGTTTATCTGGGCACAGGACGTCATAATCGAACGGACCGATTCTCCAGACTTCTTCGTATGGGCCTTGCCACTTTGCCAGGAGCTTGCTCTTGGTGTTGTACGGAAGGAGGAACGCCCTATTCACCTGCTGAAACTCTCGAGCACCTTTATTGAACTCTCTGGCGGGGGTCTACAGGCCCCGGGTCAGATTTCTGCCTCTAAGTCACCCATCCAGGTCTAGTTACTCCCACCGTCCAGAGCCTGTTGTAGTATGCCAACATTCTTGTTCAGTCAGACCTCCCTCCTCATAGTCTTGGAGGCCAACGAGGCCTTTGGGTTCCCTTTCTTGGTGATATTTTACATGGGGGAAAACTCCATACAGGCTTGAGGGATTTTCCTTTTTGTGCAGCGAAGGCAAAATCACATTTTATGCTTTGGTCTACGTCTCAAGCCCCATCAGAAGCTTTGATTTTAATCCTCTGTTTTGAAAACAGTTTATTTCATACTTTTCTCAGCAAGGATCATTTCCGGTTTTTATCTGGAATCCTAAGAACGCCACCTTTTAAACTTACAAAAGAGAAATAAACCAGAGACGGCCCTGAGGTTGTCACATAATGATAATATACATATTCTATAAAGGGTATTAATGCCGAACTGGGATGATGGGGAACTTTGATCCACCTGGCTAATACTAAGGTTTTTAGACTGGAGATGTCTTCTTGGGCTGGCTATTTCCTACACATCTGGGTAAAGAAAGCTAATGACAGCTGTTGCTTTGGAAGCATTCTCTTGTTCACATTGCCATCAAACAAGTTACAGAATGAGACAAACAAACAAAAAAAATCCCTAAAACTTAGATAGGCACTGTATGTTATCTACCCGTGAGATAATTTTTATTCCAAATTTATAAATGGTCAACTTTTTATTATTCAAAGATAAACTGTGCCCATTATGAGTTATCTATAGGAAGCATTTTAATCAAAAGCTACTTTCCTGCTTCTTTTTTTTTTTTTTTTTTTGCTATGCCCCTGATTTTCTAGGCTGCCTGTCACTCTCTGTGGTATGGTCTCAGGGAAAGCACATCCATAAAGGAGGAAATCCAAAATATATCTGGATAAGTAGTTCTTGAGACCAATTTATATCTAGAATTATGCTTGGTGCTCTGTGAGGATTGTTCTCCAAGAGTAAATGCTCATGGACTAGCTGGAATGATAAACCAGCCCATGTTAAAAAAAAAAAAAAAAAAAAAGGCAACACAAGATTGTGTGCATGTATGCATGCATGCCCATGCATGTGTGTGCAGCCAATAGCTGAATATTATGGTCCACACTAAGTATATAAGACTTCAGAGAAGAGAAATGGGTTAGAAAATGATTCATGGAAGGGGTAGTGCTTATAGAGGGTCTTGAGTGGTAAATAGGATTTGATTAAGCAAAGGAAGAAGAGAGTGTGATTAGGAAGAAAGAGGCATGAGAAATACTGTGGATATTTTGAGTAATACATTGTTTCAGATCATCTGGGCTATCGCAGTCAAAAGTCAAAAGCCAATTTTTCATACACGACTCTATGGTTAAACTTTGGTACTGAAATAGTTGAACCAAATGTTTTAATTAGTTCTCATTACTTTCCCCCAAATTGTCATCTCATTGGAACCTTGTGAAAGTTCAGAACCTTCCTGACTTAGCTGTGGGATCACGTTCAGGGTCATCATGTAGATAAGAATGGTTTGGGCAGAACGAGTTGATGTTCAGGTGGGACTGCTAACCAGTGACTCTGTCTCAAGGTCCAGCTGCCTTTGTTTGGGCTTCACAGTTAATGAAACATTATAGACTTCAGAATGGCTAACATGGGCACTTTAGTGTTCACGTAGACTTTCAATCTCTTAAGGGGTTGCCAAATTTAATTGGTATCAAGTCTTTACTATGCCATTTAAGGAATAATAGCTCAAGTTTTTGTTACTAGAAATTCTAAACTATTATTCTCTGTTCTTCCAAGGAATTTGGACTTAAAAACCTGAAGGATCTGAATATAGGATCTATGAGAAGTTAAACATGATTTACCCTGATTTGGGGAGTTGGGAAGGCAAACAATGTGAGAAGGTTGCAATTAAAGGCACACCAGCGGGTGTCTTCTGTCCTCATAGAAGATAGAGTTGAAAGAAATGGCAGAAACTCAACTAAATATTTTGTTTAAATTCAAGGAAGAATTTACTAACAATAGGTTACTAAAAAATATAACTAGCTTAAGAAGAAAATGCAATGTCACTTGCTGGTCACCGTACATGGCATAGATCTGTTTTGTAGGGGCTGTGTAGATGTGGTCTGGGAAATTTATAGGATGCATGGAATTCTTTGATTCTAGGGCGGTCCTGTGGATACCTGGATTGGGGTGATGGTGTGTGTGGGTGGGGGGCAGCTCTTGAAATTGACATCTCTGGGCTCTGTCTCTTAAATCATTCCTGGCCCAAGAGAGTATTCTATCCATAGCAGCGTTCTGTTAATGTCTTTAGAAATGTAGAAATGTCTGTACTCAGAAGTAGAGTAGAGAGGAGAATGGCCTCCTACCTGAATTTGAAGTGGCAATAGCTTTCATGGATATAACAGTCAAATCCTGTTCTGGACAAATACCAGAGAGTATTACATTATCAATTATATGCATAGATGATTCATTCTCAATATCTTAGGGGCATAGACTTCAGTGCCTGGCTTCTTGGGGATGGGAACGAAGACGTGGCTCAGTCAATACACGTGGTTTTGAAATCCTGGAAGGGAGGGCCTGCTGTAGACACTTGTTTCCCAGATGGTAGCAGTGAACGGCTGCTCAGAAACAAGAAATACAGGAACAGCGACCAGGAGCAGACTCTTCTGGGAGTCCTTGTCTGAGAGAGATTAAGTCTAGTGAGAAGCCAGGGGCAGCCACTGCATGGTGGATTGTGTCATCTTCCTTTTAATGACTACTTGAGTTATTTGTCATTGACCAGGGTTTAAGTGCTGACCTTCTTGTTTTTATGATGCCTGTTCTGTAGCACTGACACAATTTCATGCTTGTAAAGAACACTAGAAATTTTCATTACAAGTAGTGATCATTTGCAGACCTAAAATAAAATAAGCCAGAATTTGATCAAATTAAATGAACCTGTAGGTGACCTTTTTTTACATTTTTATGTCTTATTAAACTATGGATTATTTTATTAGTTCGCATTGCTTAGTATTCAATGGTGACTCACCCTCAAACTTAAAGGTCCTATCTATTTAAATTTTTTAAATCTGTTAGGATGTTAGATTTTTTTTTTTTATTTTTTTAATCTTTGCATGTGGAAATAATCCTCTGTACGTTTATTGTTTCCATATTTGCCTTCCAGGTGCCAGGATTGCTGAGTATTCCCAACTGTACGACCAGATTGTATTCAGAGAGACTCCCTTCAAGACTCAGAAGGATAGCTGGACGAGCCCTCAAGAACCCCGCCACCTCAGGGCCACATCACCTTCCCAGGCCCAACACAGCAGCGAGGATTGGCTTTTGCATTCAACCTACAGTAACGGAGAGTTAGCGGATTTCTGTCCCCGGCCAGAGCCAGACTTGAAGTCAAAACATCCTACTTTAGCGATCAGTGCAAAGAGCACTCCAAGACAGCTGTCTGCAGCTTGCTCTGTGCCTTCTCTTCAAACCTCCGACCCTCTGCTGGGCTCCTTGCAGAGACACAGCGTCATAGTCAGTCAGCCCAACAAAGAGAACTCTTTTCAGGGCCACCTTTACAACTCTTTGGGTCGCAAAGGCCTCCGTGCAAAATGTCCGCCGCACAGCAGGCCCCAGTCCTCTTCCTCCATCTTGATAAACAAGTCAGGGGACTCCATCCACTACCCTGGGGAGATGGGAAAGAGACAGCTGCTGTCTTCACACAAAAGTGCGAGGTGTGAGAGTCCCCAGGATTTGCTGCCAGCTATGGCTGACTCATGTCCTCGGGGCACTGAAAAACACTCAGATCTCACGCTCCGAGACTCACAGAAGGTTCTGGTAGTAAGTAGGAATTTACCCTTCAGTGCCCAAATAGCGACCCAGAACTACTACTCCAATTTCAAAGAGACTGAAGGAGACGAAGACGACTATGTGGAAATCAAGTCAGAAGAGGACGAGCCGGAGCTAGAGTTGTCGCACGGCCGGAGGAAGAAATCCGCCCCGGGGATCGTGGAGGCCGACTTTCCCGAGAACGCCTGCGGCAGCAGCACCCCGTACTCTTTGAATAGTCCGTGCGCTCCAAAAAAGCCAATAAGCGACAAGCTGGGGCTGTCCCCCTATCTGACGTCGTACAGCGATTCGGACAAACTGAATGACTATCTCTGGAGGGGGCCATCTCCCAACCAGCAAAATATCGTCCAGTCGCTGAGGGAGAAATTTCAGTGTCTCAGTTCCAGCAGCTTTGCCTGAGGTTCTCCGGAGAAGCCGCCCCGAGGCAACGTGGCGTGATGCTTGTAAAGGACCGATACCCAGAGGTGTTTTCTATGTACCAGATTAAAACAGTTTTGTGATAACCAGGCGTGTCAACCATGCTTTCTTTTACACAACAGCTCTTTGAAATGGCTGCCACGCCAGCCGGGACTGTACGGTCTAGCCGGCGTCAGCATCTCACGGCGGGTCTTCCTGATGCTGACTGCCTTCATGTTTCATGTACGTCAATCGTACTTGGAAAGTTTTAGGCTTTTTTTTTTTTTTTTTTTTTTTAACGTGATGGCCGTGACATTTTGTCCCGTGCCCTTGGCAATAGTGCCCAGAGTCTAAGAAATGCAGTAGCCCTCGCCTATCATCCAGAAGCCACGAGTAGTTTGATTTTAGGACCCAAAGGCAGCAAGGAGGCTTTTCCACATGTTTAAAAAAAAAAAAAAGGAAGGAAAACTAAAACTGTTTGAAGGATTAGGCTTATTATACCTGGCATTTTGGTTACGTTCGGGACAAGACCCCAGAATAACGTAAGCTAGAGATCTCTAGTTAGGGGTGTAAGTGCACACTGCCCGTCTCCCTCTGCGTGGGTCACTCCTACATCTGTTCACTCTGTTGTAGAAATCGGGTAGCTGTGGGACATCGGGAGGGAGCAAGACCGGTTCTCTATAAGCAAAGACCCTTACCTCTATTCCTGGACACGTTCCAGAGAATGCGCTGCTTATCGTGTTTATTTTGGATTGCTGGAGTAAAATGAATGATTTCCTCCAATGCTCAAAGGGAAACTACAAGCAAGAAAATGCAGATTTGACTTACCTGTTAGAAAGGATGGGGACAACTTGGTGATCTCCTCATATCCAGTGGAAGGCAGGGGTGGAAATGGGAACTCTTCGTGCAATATTTTTGTGCGGATGTCTAATCAACACAAAGTAAGCCATGAGCTAAAATAAAACACTTTAGGGCCACCCTTTCCAGAGCAGTTTTTCCATGTGTACTTTCCCGAGTTTTGTACCTCAGCCAAATGACCTGATCCCAGCCTTGAGGATTTCGTTTGCTGCGGTGAAATTTATTTTCCAAACTCAACATAACAGGGGGGCCTTTTCTCATTGTTTTGAGGCACATAAAAGAATCTTAGGCTACTAAGCTCTGACAAATACCGTCTTTGATGTTGTCATTATGGTCTTCAAATAGCCGTCCATTGTGATAATCATGGACTAACCTAAAGTTTTATGGAAGGAAACAGAAAATCAAAAGCAAGGCCTTGTGAGTAAAAAGCAAAAATCAAAGAAGCAAAAGAGAAAAGTGAAGGCCAATCTGTTGCTATTTTATAAAAATGTTCTATTTTATGGAGGACTCCAGTCAATGCAACAAGGATGTTTTCTCAAACAAGAATGTTGTATTCTCCTTTCAAGCAATTTTACATTCTAGAACCCCTTACCCAGTGGGCTCAGTTTTCATTAATATCTGTGTAGGAAACGGGATCTAGGCTTTCTATTTGAAGGCATGCTCTGATACTGATTGCAATCGGTGACATCTAACCATAATTCTTTTCCTCTTTTTAAAGTCCTGTGCTGGGTGCCTGGGTGGCTCAGATGGTTAAGTGTCTGCCTTCGGCTCAGGTCATGATCCCAGAGTCCTGGGATCGAGTCCCACATCGGGCTCCCTGCTCAGCGGGGAGTCTGCTTCTCTCTCTGTCTCTCATGAATAAATAAATAAAATCTTTAAAAAATAAATAAATAAAAAAAATAAAGTCCTGTGCCTCTCTTTCTTAACCATGAAGCATCAGATGTGACCATCCTTATTTTACAAACAGGTACCTACGGCACTCATTTTTCCTTTTAAATAACAAAAAATAACCCAAGTTTGTTTCTCCATAAGATTCTTTCTTCTCGTAGCTTACAAAACCAAGTCCATGTTGAATGGCATGGTTCTAGAAACATTCCTGCTTTCACTGCCTTTCTTTAAACTTGATACAAGTTTTCAAGAGTAGGAGTATCAAAAAAGACAAGCCCTGTAGGAAAGTATGTTCTTAGTTTGCAAAACAAAGTTACCTGATTCTTCTTGTCCTAAGAATGGAGTTTCCTATTTTTGCCTTTTAGTTTGTACGACCCCCAATTCTATATTGTCCATATATTACTCTGGTGTCTTACTCTCAGAAATTATTAATTCTTCACACCAGGGTCTCGTTGCACAGCTTTGATGTCACCCTATAGGAGTTACCCTGCTGCATGAAGGTGGATGTCTTGCTGTATAAAATGTGTGGTTGTTTTAGGTTCTAGGACAAATCTTTAGCTTTATAGACCACTTCGGTCAGCCAGGATGCAGATTTTGAGAGCTGTGTGTATATGTATAATCATGTTTGTATTTTTTCTCAAAGTTACCAATTAAAAGCTTTTGTTTAAGATAGTTTCTTTTGGAGGTGGGGTAAGATTGTATATAATTGGGGGGAAAAGTTATATGTACTTAAAAGTATGTCAAGTTCTTATTAGGTCTCTGTACTGAAGGTTCAATTTTTTTTAAAAGTTCACTTTTCACCTACTCTTTGTGCAAAAAAAAAAAATGCATCTAGGAAAAGATAGTTTAAATATTGTATATAAGATAATGAAAGTTAGTAATGCTCATTATTTAATAAAGTTTGTAAAGTACAAAGTAAATTATAGTGTGAATTCGTGTGTTTGTTCTAGGAAGGTCAAGATCTTTCCAAACTACACTGAGTTGTAATACTTTGCCTTGCCTTATGAGCCTTGCAGACAAAGGTTCTGGGTTAATGACGATATACCATGTTTCAGTGACAGCATATTTTCTGTGTCTTTGGATTACTTTTAAAATACTGAATTTAATGTCTGGGATGGTATGTGTTTTCTTGATAGGTGGCTAAGTTAGATCAATCACTAGATTATCCTTTTTATTTTGTAGTAACAAGACATCTTTTTTAACTATTTCATTTATTGAATCAAAAAAATTAAAACTTTGGGGGCACAAATTAAGGTGGGTTTTTCTGTGTGTAACTTCATGTTCCAAATTTTTTTGACAAAACTTTTATAGAGAACAGAAGCATGTTAATATAAATTGGTAATTATAGATCATTTCTTAAGCAATTCTATTTCCAAATATAAGCATAATACCCTACCCCAACATAACAAAAATATATGTTGCCTAACTTTCTTTATACAGAGGAAAATAACTTTTAAATTTTTCTCGAGAGTGTTTTAAAGTGGAGAACTTCTAAACCTCACACTGAGGATCCATCACACTTACCTTACTTTTCTGCCTTGAGGTTGAAAGTAGGTGGGGTTTTCTGTAAGTTATGAAAGGTCAATTTATTTTTTTTTAAGATTTTATTTATCTGATAGAGAGCAAGCAAGAGAGCACGAGCAGAGAGAGCAACAGTGGGAGAGGGAGAAGCAGGCTCTCTGCTGAGCAGGGAGCCTGATGCGGGGCTTGACCCTGGACCTTGGGATCACGACCCAAGCCAAAGGCAGACGCTTAACCAACTGAGCCACCCAGGTGCCCCTTGAAAAGTCAATTTAGAGAAGTAAATGATAGTAGAAAAACCATGCCCTGTGTAAATTCCATACATAAATCCTTAGGGGATAGACAGAAAAATCTTAAAAATCAGGCTTGTAATGAACTATAAACACAGCTGTTAAACATGAATATTTATTAACATTTGTTAAGTTTTCTTTTGTTAAAAGGAATTTTTTTAGGGACACCTCAGTGGCTCAGTCAGTTAAGCGGCTGCCTTTGGTTCAATCAGGTCATGATCCCAGGGTCCTGGGATCGAGTCCCACATCAGGCTCCCTGCTCATTGAGGAGCCTGCTTCTCCCTCTCCCTTCTGCCTGCTCTGCCTTCAGCTCCCCCTGCTTGTGCTCTTTCTCTCTCTCTCTTTCTCTCTGTCAAATAAATAAAATCTTTTTTTATTATTATGTTAATCACCATACATTACATCATTAGTTTTGGATGTAGTGTTCCATGATTCATTGTTTGTGCATAACACCCAGTGCTCCACGCAGAACGTGCCCTCTTTAATACCCATCACCAGGCTAACCCATCCCCCCACCCCCCTCCCCTCTAGAACCCTCAGTTTGTTTCTCAGAGTCCATAGTCTCTCATAGTTTGTCTCCCCCTCTGATTTCCCCCCCTTTATTCTTCCCTTCCTGCTATCTTCTTTTTTTTATTTTTAACCTATAATGTATTATTTGTTTCAGAGGTAAAAATTTAAAAAAAAACCTTTTTTTTAAAAGATTTATTTGGGAGTGCATACGAGCTGGAGATGGGGGGTGGAGCAGAGGGAGAGAGAGAATCCTCAAGCTGACACCCCGCTGAGCTCAGAGCCCAAAAAAAACTCTTTTATAGGAGATCGTAAGTTTCTTTTTGGAAGAATATTCTAAAATTTAGCACGTAACTCATTTGACCCCTTGAGATGGAAAATTTTTTTTTAAAGATTTTATTTGACAGAGAAAGACACAGCAAGAGAGGGAACACAAGCAGGGGGAGTGGGAGAGGGAAAAGCAGGCTCCCCACTGAGCAAGGAGCCCAATGAGGGGCTCCATCCCAGGACCCCAGGATCATGACCTGAGCCGAAGGCAGACGCTTAACGACTGAGCCACCCAGGCGCCCCAAGTTGGAAATGTTTTTACCAGCTCAGTACCTTGCCTGACAATTTGTAGGTGTTCCATAAATATTTAATGATTGAATAGATAGAGTCAAAAACTTGTATGAGCACAAAATACGAGAAGAACATTCAAATCAGAGACACAAAGGAGGGAAGAACAACAGGGTCTACATTGCTTTTTAAAATTCGCAGCAGCCACCCTCAGAAATCCAACATCTTGGAATTTCTATTGGGTGGGTCAGAGAAAAGCCTGTAGGCCCCTTTCCCATCTCTTGGCTGATAGGATTCGAGGGAAATTTACTCTGTGCGAGATTTCCAGTGACTTTTTTTTTTTTGGAAGTGGTTATTTCTTTTTTTTTTTAATAATTTTTTTAT